GGGGGGGGGGGGTAGCATGAGAATGGGGACTGGAGGGCCCAGGGAATGGAGGATTAATACTTCTTCGCAGAGGAGAAAAAAGATGGACGCCCAATAGGATCAGAGTAGAATACAGAGCCTGAACCTTTAAAAGACCTAAACAAACATATTTTAGTTTATCAGACTGTCCTATCCTGTCCTATCCTGTCCTATCCTGTCCTATCCTGTCCTATCCTGTCCTATCCTGTCCTATCCTGTCTTATCCTGTCATATCCTGTCCTATCCTGTCCTATCCTGTCATATCCTGTCCTATCCAGTCCTATCCTGTCCTATCCTGTCCTATTCTGTCCTTTTCTGTCCTATCCTGTCCTATCATTTTCTATCCTATCCTATCCTGACCTATACTGTCCTACCCTTGTCCTATCCTGTCCTTTCCTGTCCTTTCCTGTCCTATCCTGTCCTATCCTGTCCTATATCCTGTACCTGGTGCCTACAGGGGATTTATAGTATGAGGTTTTTATGGCTCTATCATTTAAAACACTTGTTTCTCGTTGCCTGTCTACATCACGCCGAACCTATGGAAATAACATCAAATCATTTTTATATTTTTATGAATGTTGTCATCTTAATATCTTCGTGTTTTAGACCTTCGGTCTCCTCTGTACATTTTCTCTCTGTCTGTAATTATATATCTTATTTAATAAAAGCACAAATCCATAAAAATTCAGAAACTTATTCCTCCAACCTCAGATCGATAAGGAGAATTCATTTTGAGCGTTATTTTCTCCTAAGACAAAGGAATTTAGTCTTTGCCTAAAATTCAAATTTTTGAATCCCTATATATTTGAAACCTGATGTTATACACCTTTGAATTTTCAAACCTAGATTATTTGATCTGAAAGGATATATAGATTGAAAAATCTAATGTATGCGAAATTGGGTTGAAAAAATATAGGAATTAGAACATCATAGTTTGTAGCAAAGAAAATCTAAGTATTTGATTGGAATCAATAATTTCAAAAAACGTTTTACTTATTAATAATAGAAAAAAGGGTAGTATTTGAAAACATGTTAGTAAATTTTAAGCTAAAGTGAAAATAACTTTTCTGGGGTTTCTGAAATCTGCATGCACTTTTTGGTGATAAAATTTCACGGAATTTAGAACAAAAATTTTAAATCAATTCTCATCCAGATAATTGAAAAATGTGCACAGTGAAATGTGCAATTAACCAACTATGTGCAATGTGCATTCAGTACTACTGAATATAGGTTAGATTTGTCGATAAAAATATTTTACTGATATTCTCAAGTTTTTCCTAATATTTCCGAATCAATATTCTACCTATGGCCGACCAAAACGTAACAGAGAGGTGAAACAATGAAGCACATTCCTCAGAGTTTTCGCGTTTTGACGAATTTTAAGGTGTATAACGGCCAACAAAATCAAAGGGATTGTAAGCGTAATTTCAAGTGACCCTCCATGCAAATGTGACAATGCTCTATTTACAAACAGTACTTTTAAAAGCATTTTCTGATAAAGTATGAATGTTTTTTTTCATTTGCTGTTTCTCTGTGAAAAGTGACTTGCGCATTTCTTGTTCATAAGAAGAAACAAAGCAATTATCAGGTCAGAATACGAAGGTATCTTTCACGTTTTTAATCATATTAGAAGGACTGTAAAGGAAAAATGAAAGGGGGTATAGGCTGAAAGCTATTCAGTTTAGCTCTTGACTATTAAAGTTATATCTGATGTTCCTGTTTCGAGAAATTTATATAAAACTGTGTCAAAGGAAACTGAGTTTTGGCCACAAACTCGGATTTTCTAATCCCAATATCTGTGCAATTTAATGTCGGAGACCTTTGATATTTCAAACTATGAATTCTTTTAGATCACTTAATGATAGTTTGAAATATTGAAAGTTTACAGCATCAGGTTGCAAAGATATAGGTAATACAAGATCAGAATTTGTGGGAAAAACTCAGTTCCTTTATACCAAAATTCATATATATGCAGAAGAACTACCACCAATGAGAGTGCAGTATCCTGGTCACGTGTCTCTGTCTGTATCACGTGAGTGTGACAAGAATACTGCAATACCATTGGTAAGAGTTCTTACAATTAGGTTTCTCCGGGATATCTTTGTTTTCAGATTGGTTGCGTATTTGCTGAATATGATATGTTTAAACATACCATTTCTATACTAAATTGTACATATATGAATTTTTGTATGAATTTGACACAGTTTTATATCAATTTCTCGAGACAGGAACATCAGATATAAATTTTTATGGGTCGCGATCAAGAGCTAAAGTGATTGGCTTTCAGCCTATACCCCCTCTATTTTTTTCTTTATGCAGTCCCTTTCAGGTTTCAAGGTTACCGTTGTAAATCGGGTGTTGCCATGTATGCATGGAGCGTAACTTAAAATTACGCTTACAGTCCCTTTAATATAATAAATTATGACTAACCTGGAATAGCTCTTTTCTCAGTTCTTTATACCCCTTCACATTCCTATCTAGTTCTCTGCTAGCACTTAATCTAAACACAAATATTTTAACATATTCATGAATAAACAGTAAAATAAGGAGTAAAATATTAAACTCTTTTCTTCAATTTTCTTCTAGATTCCGTGAACGTTGTAATTGCAAACTGCTATTTCTTAAAGAACGTATACGAGAAAAAAGAATAGGGGTTGGATCAGGTTGATAATCGTACATTAGCTATAACTTATTGTTAATTCCATCCGATTTTCTATAAAAGTAATTTAATATATGAAACCGTTTTCCTGTGACCTGAAAATATGTATCTTTCACTGTAGGATAAAATGCTTTTTACATTTAACGATGCATTCAATACCTTTAAATTAAATTACCTATACAAATTTTTCTCCATTTAATTGTAATAATTTTTTTTACTAATAAGCTTTATTAATATAACTATGCTTATTAAAATGCAGAATTTTTGTCGTAACAATGATAACATTTAAAAAATCTATTTTAACTATTTTAAACAATTTATATAAATAGACACAAAGTTCGTTTTTAACTGTCACTTCTCTGTTGATCCTTTGATGCATGTATTTTTGCTTATATACACTTTACACAACTATTTATTCAAAAATAAGCATTTTCAAGTCCCTAGAGGGGAAAATTAGTTCATCCCAAGAGGGTACTCAAGCGTTCTTAACGACATTCTCTCATGTTATGACGCAACAGTTAAACTATAAATACCAGTATAACTGACACATGAAAAAGTGACAATTTAAGTTTGTGTAGATTCTATCAAAATAAGACATATTCGGAATAACGACAAAAAAGTTTATCTTTCTTATTAAATTGCACAAAATATTAAAATCTTATATTTTTTCATTCAACCTCCTCTAATGGGAGAATGTAACCAAATAAATTGCTGTTCTTATACTTGTGATTAAAATCAAAACTAGTAATATCGCATACATTATACCTTCTCCTTGTCTAGTTTGCAGTGCTGGGTGTTAAAAATCCTTCATATGTAATTATCTTAAATAAAGATAACATTTCTAAATGACACTTTCTTTCTGGGCAGAAGATGTAAGCAACAATTTGCGTTTGACGCAATATTTAACAATAGCCAAGATGTTGAACTGACGCACCCCAATATTTATTTTAACAGGTATGTTGCGTCAGAAAAGTAAGCTTAAAATAGAAAAGTTGACAAAATCACCACCCACCTCACATCGACCCCTCTCCTCCCCCCCGTCCATCACCATCACTGAATTTTAAATTATGACACATTTCTGTATGTATGCACCTATTAAAAGAACTGACGAGGTTAAGGCCTCACAGCCTCTAAAGAAATCAACACAAGTGTTCTCTGCAGAATAAATAACGGTATCTTGTCTATATATTAATCTCTCATTCATTTATCATTGAACCAAATACTTTAAGATATGTTTAATTTCTCATGAAATATTTTGGAACGACGCGACGACAAACTTTGTCAGTGATTTATAAAATCTTCGTGTTAAATAACAATTTTTAACAACTTGAGAACTCTTTTCCCTTTCGTTTTTTTCAATCTTTTTTGTAAAGATCCATACAGTGAGAACCAGACAACTTGTGAGTTAAAATATTCCAATTAACATGATATACAACAATTGTTTAAATAAAAAAATTTAACATAAAGGGACTGTAAGCGTAATTTCAAGCGACCCTTCAGGCAACAAGGACAATGCCTGATTTACAATGGTACCCTGGAAACCTTAATCTGATAAAAAATATTTTGGGACGACGCGACGACAAACTTTTTCATTAATTATAAAATCTTCTTGTTAAATAACAATTTTTAACAGCTTTAGAACTCTTTTTCGTTTCGTTTTTTTAAAATCTTTTTTTTGTAAAGATACATACAGCGAGAACCAGACAACTCTGGAATAGGAAGACGAGTTTTAGACTTTACTTGTGAGATAAAATATTCCAAGCGACTCTTCATGCAACAAGGACTATGCCTGATAACCTTAAAACCTTAATCTGATGAAAAATGCTTAAGATATTGTTTTTGTTTTTTTTACTCAAAAAGTGTTTCTTTATTGCTTCTTATGATCAAGAAATACGCGCAAGTCACTTTCGCAGATAACCCGCAAATAAAAATAAACAATTTAAAGAAAGAAAAACATTGGGATATCTAATAAATATTAGGTTGGCATGTGTACATAAAAAGATGGACGAGCGTTCATGGAACCATTAAAAAAGTTAAAGTCCTAATACTTGGTGTTACAAATTGACTAAACGTAATCATCGGAATTAAAATACGAAACTAAATTTCTTTCCAGTCACGTATATGAGAACAAGTGAAATGGATAAAGAAAATAAGAATTAAGATTGAAACGAATTAGTAATGATATATCTTGGAAACTTTTACAGACTGATGCACAAAAAGTGTAATAAAAACAAAGCATAACTATTATTAGATTTATTTTTATAATCTATAATATTATTCGCAGATTCGTTCTCAGTCGTTCTTTCATCACAATATTTGATAGTTATTCATTTATTTGTTAATCTGTTAAATTGTTTAAAATTTGTGTTAATAAATAGTCAGATAAATAGAAGAGTGGTGGAGNAAGGTCAAGGTTATTAGGATAAATATAGATAAGCATATTTTTCTCATTTTAGCTTTTATACTTCCTAACCCCCATACGTTGGATAAAATTATTAAATCTTAAAGATTTTGCATCTAGGACTTGAGAAAAATATCTAAGAATGAAAAAAGAAAATTCTCTAAATAAACACAGGACGTAAAAACATTCTTTACAATTTTTGAAAATAAAAATAAGATTAAAAGTACCCTTTACATGGTTATAAAATAAAAAAAACATGCAATATTTAGAAAAAGGAAAAAGGCAAGCATTGCAACAAACTTTTTTCAAGAAAATAACTAAAAAAATTTTAGTTTAAGAAAACGAGAAATTAAATATCATTTGCTTTTAATTTTATTTTCCATGTTTAACATGAAAGGAAACTGATCAACAGCAAAATGGAAATTTCTAAAAGTTTGCCATCATAAATATTCATTTTTCTTCAAATAAAAGAATAGAGAGAACATAGACAGCATGAAATATTATTCAACCGCGGGCAAAACATTTCTGAAATAAAAATTAAACTTTTTATTCGAATTTAAAAAAAGGTGAATTAAAATTTTTTTATCAAAAATAAGTAATGAATTTTTAAAACCAGTTTAACCCCTTTAGCTGTTTCTTATAAACCTTGAATAGAATCAAATAAAACCTTTATATTAAGACAAAAAAGATTACAAATAGACGAATAAGCTTTGTCAGTTGAACGAACAATGATGAATGATTTAATGAATTTTTACTAGTTTTTGGACATAAAAAAAACATTTTAGCAGTGAAAACGCTTTAATATACATCAGTGTGTAAAGGAATTGAGTTTTTGCCACAAACTCAAATTTTCTGACACCAACCTGTTGGTGCAAACCTTTGATATTTCAACTCAAATAGATTATTTGATCTAACAGAATTTATAGTTGGAAATATCTAAGGTCTACGATTTTGGGTTGAAAAGATCTATGGATTAGAAAATCAGTGCTTGGGGGAAAAAATTCAATTCCAGTGTACAATAATAAATAAAATAAATTGGAATTCTCTTAATATTTACCGGTTTCTTTCATCATTAGATTTTTTAAATTTTACCTCTTACCCATCTAAACAATGTAGGGTTTAAATCATGTTTAAATAACATTTTAAGAGCGTTTCTAAATTGTCTGATTTAAATTGCTGCCAAATTGCAAATTTGCTTTTACAAAAATACCAAGTGTTAGACCTGTCAGCTTTTTGCTCAGCGGTCAAATATAGATTTTATATTTTAGTATTTTTTTCTGGATATCGTCAGACGTTTAAACACACACACAAACATAAGTATGATTTACAAAAAACTTAGATTTTCTAATCCTAAATCTTTACTAAACATTTTCGCATAGCCTTTGATATTTAAAACTATGAATTAAGTTGGATCAGATAATCTTCATTAGAATATTAAAGTTCAACATCATCAGGTTGCAAAGATATAGGGATTGTAAAATTTGAGTTTGTGACAAAAACTTAGTTGCTTTCCTATTTTAATCAGAGAATTTTAATGTAGAAATATAGAATGTCTTTTCGAGGATGTTTTTTATTCATGACAAATAAATAACCTTTTTTTGGGGTCGTAAGATATCGCACACAACAAATTGGACCAATAAGGAAACTTCTGTAAATACTTTAAAATATATATTGTATTTTTTTTTTGTAATTTTGTAATTGTATTGTTTGTCGCCGTGTATTTCAGTACAATTTAAGAATCTCAAACTTTCCTTTCCTTAGAGTTTGTGTAATCAATTAACACTTTTAACATGAGAAAAGTTACCGACCCGCATTAAAGGATAAAGAAATTAAATCCTGGCTTAGTATGCTTGACTGATTCAGGGGAAAGAAATAGATTTTAATCTGAAGGGAATAAAAGATATTATTCAGGTTCAAAAGACCGTTAAAGTCAAGGTTGTAATGCAAGGAAAGTTATTTCAGAGGTGTACGCATCTTTTGTACTGCAGTGTACTGTCTCTGGGCGGTAGTGTAAACACAAGACGGATGTTGAAGCCAGACATGGGATCCATCTTTCACATAATAAAATCAATTCTGGTCATAGGAAATTATTATGTGAATTATCAAAATTATCAAAAACCTCCTCGGATACTCAACGAACATTGATGCATTTATTCTTTTTTACAAATTCCGCCCAGAGAGAACTGGTTTCAATATGTACGCAAAGTTTACGCAACTGGAATTAACTTTCCTTGCATTATAACCTTGGTTGAAGTAGTTTCAAGTGACATCTTATTCAAAGAGTTGTCTGATTCACAATATTGCACTTTAAACCTTTTTTTTGGACAACAATAGGATAGAAATCATCGGTTTTTCACCATGGAAAAATGTTTAATTATAACAATATCCTTTTCGATCTCTGCTGCATAAATCCCATGCCAATTGTTTAAGGAATTGTATTATCAAGTTTCAGGTCAAAGTTTTTTTGTTGCTTAGACACAGGTTTGAAGGGAACCGTTGTGAATCAGAAATTAAACCTATTTAAATATTGTGTCGTATGTAATTATATCGATATTTCCTTCAAAGCTTGAACAGAAAACTTTTAGATGATACAATAAGTTTAACTTTATTCTGTTCTCGTGGTATAATTAAATCGATCTCAATCATCTAGGAAAGGAATTGAGTTTTTGCCACTACCTTTGATTTTCTAATCCCTATATCTTTGCAATGTAATCTCGTAGATCTAAGATATTTCAAACTATGAATTCTGTAATATTAAATAATCTCTGTGTGAAATATCAAAGGTTTCAAACGCTGATATAAGAAGAAAAAACCTGTTTTTAAATCTTTCTCGTTTTCATCACACTGATTCGATCTTTTTTGACTGCAATCTTTATCACAAAAAGGGTTAGTATACAAATACCTTTTCTCTGAAGATAATGGGGGGGGGGGGATAAAGAAAAAAAATACGAATTAAATTATTGCGTTGAATTGCAAAAAAAAATACAAATTTTCCACCTACCTTTCTCCTGGTACAAAAGGTTTAGCATCAACATATCCGTATCTTTGATATTTCATCGCGGTTAAAGAACAGCTTGGAGTCCATACAAATCCAGAGTAGGACATCTAGACCATAATTAGTGTAAAGTTTTTTAGCTAAAACATACAGAGAGAACCAGAAAACTGCGGAATAGGAAGACGACGTTAAAGTGATTTCTAAATGTATTTTAGTTGTAACAACGCAAATAGTTTGCTATAAGCTTAAAATGGTGCATAATTCTTGTGCCCCATGTTGATTGGACATTTTCTAAGTATAACTTGTGCCTAAAAGTCGTCTTCCTATTCCACTGGTTCCTTCTGCATTAAAATTCACAGTAATAACTAGCCTTAAGAAGCATGTCCTCTTCTTTTTTTTCAATTAAAGATGCAAGAGAAATGCCGCTCACGCTGTCTTTGTTCTTTTTATATGTATATATATGCACAAATATTTGAACTAAAGTTTAATTAGCATTGTTATATAGATAAATATCTTATCTCAAGTATTTTGTTGAAATGAGTGTCAGGAAACTAAACATTTTTAACATTTTCAACATTGGGAGTAAAATCTTAAAGAAGGGGGGGGGGGGGCATTACCTTTTTTTCTTTAAAATAAAGGGACTGTGAGCGTAAATTCAAATGACCCTTTATGCAAACATGCCAATGCTCCACTAACAACGATATCCTTAAAAGCTTTGTCTGAAAAAGTATGAACTAGATATTTAATTCTTATAATTTTTAAAACTGATATTTTGAATTTTGGTTTCTCTACAAAAAAGAGTTGCACAGTTCTATAACGGAATTATCAGAATTAAATACTTTTAAACCTACAAAAACGACATCTTATTGATCAGATAAAGGTTTCATTGTGAATCGAGCATTTCCAACTTTGCATGGATAGCCACTTGAAATTACGCATAAGTCCAGCTGTGAATCTTAGTCTAATATAATTACTTTTCCTTCAATAAAACTAATTCAACCAGTTTTCCCCCATGCATTTCACAAATTTAAAATCATGTCTCTTCAGCACTAAAAATGTACGGAACAACTGAAAATCTTCGATTTTGTCGATTTTTAATCCAGAACAGTGAAACGTATCTGTCTACAACTCTGATCTTTTAAACCTTTTTTAAGCCTTATGATGAAATCATGAAACATATTTATACATGACATTACAATTTAGCTTGATCAAATAGACAGATATGATACACCGTCAGGTTGCAAATATATAGAGGAAACATTTAAGTTTCAGGCAAGTGATTAAAGGGACTCTAAGCATAATCTAAAGTGACCCTCCATTAAAAGATGGAAATGCGGGAGTCAAAACGGTACTCTTAAAGGGATAGTTCGCGAAAAATGAAAGGGGGTAAGCCTATACACCCTTTTATTTTTCGGGAACACTCCCTTTAAAAGCTTTGTCTGATCAATAATTAGAACATTTCGTTTATATATAGGGTTCAAATTGTTTAATTCTGAAATGTGCGAGTTTTATAGAGAAACCACATTTGAAAATAATCAGTTTTCAAAACTATTAACAATGATATCTTATTCATACTTGGGCAGACAAAGGTTTTATGGGTACCTTTGTAAATTGAGCATTGCATTGGGCTTGAACTTACGCTTAAAATCTCTTTAATCTCTTTAATACAATTATTGTAATCTGAATATAAATCTTCTTAAGGTTACTTTATACCTTGATATTGTTAGTAAATGTCTTGTTGTCGGGTTGGGTTCTGTTTGTTGACTGGAGGGCGGAGCTGCAGGTTGACCGGTGTTCTGAGAGTAGCTGGAGGGAAGGGGGGGGGTTGACCCCAACAAAAATAAGAAATTACAATTGACAGTTTGCACTGTTGCAAGTTCATAAAAAATTACTTGTTTAAATTAGAATAAAAAAGTGATATTTATAATTTTCAAAAGAACGCCTTAATTCTGAAAACGATAAAAAATTAAGTATTTTCAATCTGCCATGACACAAATTTTAGGAATGGAATTGATTTGATATTTTAAACTTTGGCTTTCAGGTCTTGCACAATTCACAATTTAAGTTATCAAATTTAAGTTTGGCACAGTGTTCAGTTTTCAATCCAACTAGTAACTACTATTTAGTCCTGTAAATAGTAAAAGTAAAATCTAAACCAGAAATTTAAAGAAGATGATTCGTTTTTGTAATTATCCCTTTAGGAGAGGAAAATTTTGTTTGCATTTTTACTTTTCAATCCAACATGTTTTAAATTTCCTAAAATTAAAATTGTTTTCATGAATTAAGTTTTCTACTAAACTTTTGTTTAAATATTGATTTAAAAAAATTCAATTACATACAAATAAATCTGCTATAATATACAATATAATGTAATTAACTTTTTAATATAATGAATTTACATATATATATATATAATAAAACAAGACATTCATATAAATGATGTCTAAAGCCGACCAAACGGCTGGACCGAATTGGCTGAAATTTTTTGTTAACACTCATGGGTTGTGGGGGAGTGTTATAGGCTTAAAAAATCGAGTTTTTTCAATTTTTTTCCACGGGCAACGCCGGGCGCTTCAGCTTTTATTTAATAATTTGGTTTAAAAGGTGTTAAAAATTTTAGAGAGATCATTTTGTAACGAATTGACGAAAGAAAATAAAAAAATATAGCTTCAAATCTGTTGAACAAGAAAGACAAGTAAAGAATCTGGTCACTTGTTTAAAACTAAAATTTTCTAATCCTTTCTTTCTTTGAAACCTGAAGCAGGACATTTTTGTGAATCAAGCTTTCATGCAGACCTATGAAATAATCTAATTTTACTTCGATATCCCGTTCCGAATTCTTATAAATTTAGTAGTCAAAGTTGGAATTGTCAAAGGTTCACACCACCAACACCAATTCCAAAGAGGGGGGGTTTAGAAAATATAGAGAGGGGGTTATAGAAACTCTAGAGAGGGGGGGTTTAGAAAATAAGAGTTTGTTCTAAGTATTTAGTCATTTTGGAATGAAATTAAAAAAACGAAAGGAAGCCGAGTCCGACTTCTGATTGCTGAAGCGTGGAAGTTTGAACGTTTAAAATATTTTCACTTCGGATCAAATATTTTGAATGGGAAGAAGTGAGGCATGTTTTAAAATAACACTGCAGTAAGTAAAAAGTTTAAAATGTTAATCCTAAGGCGAGAGAAAAATGTGAAAAAAAGCTTAAAGGGAGTGTTCGTGAAAATGAAAAGGGGGTATATGCTTACGGGGAAAAATAAGCGCTTTTAATTGCTACTAATATTATCATTATAATATTATGAAATATCAAAAAATAAAAACAATCGATGAATATTGCTTGTAATATCTGAGGGATTTGTTTGGAATTAAATTGATAACTATACGATCCGAGTCGTATGTTCCAACTTTCTGAATTTGTTTGGACGCTTCGTTTCATTTTTCGAGAACACTCCCTTTAAAGGTGATAAATTTAAAGTAGAAACAATCTAAACTCTATTTAATTTAATGACAGTAAATACAAAAATAATTAGATTCAGTTTGTTCAACAAGATAAAATTTTCCGCACTTAATTTCAATTTAATAGTTTCCCGCTATTTACTAATTTCAACCCCAGACCAGAAGCTAAAACTTTTGGACAGGATTGCGCATAGCTACATCGACTGTACTCGATACACAAAGCCAAAGCGTAAACTTTTGAATGAATTTAAGTTTTAATCTGAGTAACAAAGTGATATATTAAAATATTTAAACGAGGATAGTTGCAGCTCTGGTAATTGATAAGTATTATTGTTAACTATTTAACTATTTAACTGTTCAGAAGGAGAAAACAAAATTTCTGCGATTTTACAGTAACGCGTGCATAGCTCCTCTATTTTTAATTCTACGCAAATCACACAATTGGGAGAGAACCTTTGAACGCCATGAGCCTCCAGTATGCAGACACGAGCCTCCCAGATTTGCTAGGCAGACCGAGCCTCCGCTCTGCAGAAATGAGCCTGTACAATTAGGGTTGTTAATCGTTTTGAAAACGATCGTTAAACGATTGTTTTTTTTTGTTTTCCTATCGTTTTTTAACCTTGTGTTTTAAGTTTAAATAAAAGATTTTTTTCAAATTTTTTGATATAGTGATGAGAGGTTTCTTAAAGATGATAAGTATTTATCAATTTTCATAAATAGTGCCTAATTATGACTTATAAATATTTAGAGAAAAAAAATTTGAAATGAATTTCATTTCATCTTTTATAATCTTTAATTTTTTTGAAGTTCAAATTAAATCTAGATTTGTATCAATTATTTAAATCTTAACAAAATTAAAAAAGGTATTGTTTAAATCAAAGACTACAACAAAAAAAACAAAGTTTACTCAAGAAATATTTCTCCAAATATCTTCCTTTCTGCGTAAGAAATGTTTGAAGTTTAGTATAAATCTTATACACCACTTTATGAGTCCAGAAATGTTTCTAATCATGACGATAAATAAATAGCTCTAATCTTTAATAAAATCCTTTGCCACGACGTCAAAAAAAATGTTAACATTTTTTATTACACATAAAAGCCAAGATTTAAAAATAAATGCGCTGTATGGTGAAGGCTCGTTTACTGCATAGCAGAGGCATGATCTGCATGGTGGAGGCTTGGTCTGCATAGTGGAGGCTCGGTCTGCCTAGCAAATCTGGGAGGCTCGATCTCTGCATAGCGGAGGCTCATGGCGTCCGGGGGTTCCCTCCCTTGTCGCACAGTAGTATGATAAAAGCATATTTGTCCAGTTACGTAAGAGCATTTTTTTTCTTCTCAGTAGCTCTTCAATTAAAGGAGTTATGATTAAACAGTAAACACATAGAAGATTTAAACTTGTATTTTATTTTCGGTGTGAGCTGCACTAGCTATATTCTATACATAGTAACAATAGCTTAAAGTACTTTTATCTTGACCAATTGCTCTAGTTTGGGGCAAAATATTTTAAAATTCCACGGACTTCCTCTCAGTTTACCGTCCGCTTTTTACCTTTGCACATTCACATCAATAAGATTTTAGCACAAATACCTTTAGTCAATATTCAACCTTTTTTCGTACTTTTAATAGATACATTGTATATTTCACGAATATTATGTTTCATCCTTGGCTATTGATATCCTCATTTCTGCATGGCCATGCAATATGCATTAGGCATGCACATCTTAATCCAATAATATTTCAAACTACGAGTTTTTTTAGTTGTACTTTTAGATGTCTCAGTCCTGTATTTTTTTTTAAAAGTTCACAATATTCATACTGGATCCATTTTTGTTCAGGTTGGCATCAAGCAGATTGCTGTTGTGATGTAAGGAGTGTTCTCCTGAAGGTGGATTTGCTTCGTTATCACAGCATAGTAATATCTAGAATATTGACCAGAGAAAGAGGACACCCAAAACGTTTTTATTTAACGATGCGAAACTAAGCAGAATCTTAAATCATGATCCAGAACAAATTTTAGAACGATTTTACGAACTTTAACGGTGGTTTGATGGGGTTAAGAAGGAAAAAAGTGTATATTTGAAGGATTACATGTCCGGGCAGGAAAAAAGGATTACATGTCCGGGCAGGAAAAAAACACCATCAAGACCCCAAAAATGGTTGAAAATATTGAAAATTGTTGAAACCATATTAGCAAGGATTCAAGAAGTATATTTGCCAGACAGTTTCATGCATGCTTTACATTCTAAACAAAGTTGTAAAGCAAGATTTAAAAATGACAAAGATCTGGGTCAAATTTGTCCCAAAGTCTCTGACTAAAGGGATTACCTTGATCTCAAACGTAAATCAAAACAATAAAAATTCTCAAAAGTCCTTCATTCAATAAATACTCAATCTCCCATTTCTTTTAAATTGCTCTTAAAAGGTCTAAAACAGACTCTGATGGATCAAAAATGTTCAGAATAGTCTCATTATTCTGAACATTTTCTTGCTGTGACGAACAAAGCTGACATACACTCGGGAGAACGCTCCTTACATTACAACAAAGATATGATTGACAGCAACTGATCTGAAAAATAACGCGGTATAGAAAGTGAACTTTAAAAAAATCACAGGGCTGAGACATCTTGAAGTACCTCTAGTACCTCTAAGCAGGGTTTGTGCTTATCTGCCCAGTAATTTTCTTTGCAGAAACCCAGACAAACAACTTTTCATGGGCTTATCACCCTCTATACACGAAGTGTGAGTAGGCCTCACCTTATATGCAGAAACCCAAGTTTGGTTTTCTATGCTTATAGGCTGATTTTGCTAACACTTTTTCGTATTTTTACCTTTAAAGATGTTCTTATTAATAATGTTGAAATCAACCCAATATAATATTGACTATATTTTCAATAATTAACTAATGATGAAAGGCTTTAGACACAAAAATTACCAGAAATAATGTAAAAATATTTCAACTATGAGATGCATTCTCGAACGGCCCCTTTAGTACCCCCCTTCTCAATTTGTTATGCAACCTCATAAGATTTTTTATATTATTTGAGGGTTAGGTTAGGTTAAGACAATTTCTGGGCCGAGCGGTGCGGCTAGGACATATTTTTATATACAGTCCCCGGAGGTTGCTTGACAAGTTTAGGAAAGGGGGGGGGGGTCCATATCACTCACTTTCAGTATTCTGTTTTATGCCTGGCTGAAATCTAACATTGTCCTGAAATGTAATTGTAAACTAAAGAAACTGGGCAAACTGCATAAATACCTAGAGGGGAAAATTTCAATTGTCATTTTAAATCAAGCATTAACAAGGAACTGTCAGAAAAGATTGAAGATTTATTTGTTAACTAAGAGTCAAGGCATGTTGTATTTCAGATATTTAACAATGACTTTTTCGTAGATTTCTAAAGTTGTAAAATTTTAGAAATAGATTTCTTCAAGTCATATTTTGAGACTAAAATATCTTCTGGGTACTAAAATAGATCGGAAGTTTAAATTGAGCAATCAGTTCTATAATGGCGTCCAAAAGCCACACAAAAACTACAGAAAAGCACATTTGTAAAACAGATTTCGCAGATTTTCCGTTTAAAGGATAATTTTGTGTGATTGCAACAAAAGTTCATTATATAGTTTCTGGACGAACATGAACATAATTGAACAATAACAGAGTTTGTTCACATTGCTCTAAAAAACTACAGGACACCTTTTTAAAATATATTTTTTTAAATTTACGTTGTGAAGTCGAGGATGGAACAAACAGTATTGTACATCAAATACATGATGCTCGTCGACGTTCAAAACCCAGTTCAAAGCTAGCAAAGGCGGTATAAGATGTGAAATGAAAAAAAATACCATTTAGCAAAATATTTATCTAGCTAATGTTAAAAGAAACAAAATATTTCCAGTTAGCCATTTTGAATTATAATCAATTGGCATATATCTTGATAAACGTTCATCAATCGTTATGAGAGGGATGCATGAGTTTCTCCGTGCAACAAAAAAGGGAAAAATCAACAAAATAGTTTGTTTTTCAACGACAGAATCCCCGAATTGTCTCAAATTACCTAGTAAATATGAGGGAACGATCCAGATATCGTCTTCAATTTAAACTATTTCAAACTTTGACAAAGTCATGTTGAAAATAAAAATTACAGATCAAAGACATGAAAAACAAATGTTATAAAAAAATTCAATAATTTATTTCAGATTTTTATTTTGCCTCCAAACGTACGTTTCCATCTCAGATATTTCTATGCGCTAGATAATACATTTCCCTTAAATGTACTCGCAGGGGGACCTGAAAATAAAAATATACAGGGTGTTCTAATAAACATAGAAATAAAATGACGAACAAATCTTTGATCATAGCGTTATTATTTGTAAATCTAATTATACTGATTAAATTTTGTTTTAAATTTGATTAAGATTTTATCATTTTTTCATAGTATTGATTAATAAATTTTTAGTAAATAATATGTATTACCAAAATTTCAATATCTCCGTCAATTTTATCAAAATAAAAATAGAAATATAAAAAAGAAACGTTGTCTTAAGTTGCTTACAACTTTATTTTTTAGCCATTTACAAAAATGTCTTTACTGCAAGCCACTTTTATATCAATTTTCAGTTAGAAAATAAGAAAATCTTTGACATTTTTGCTCAGACGAATGTTTAAATGGTACCGTTGTGAATCAGTCATGCAGCTTTTTGAACGGAGTCAAATACAATTTCTTTTACATTCCCTTTAAATAGATGTGAATCCAGTTTACCTGGAAGTACCGTAGCTGAGCAAGGTTTGCCTCCAAGGAGAACATGAAGCTGAGTGCCTGGATGCGAGAAGAGGCAAGGTACTGAAGCCATGCATAGACCTGAGTTTAGAATAGGACTCCAGCACCCTGATGTCGTGTATCCTACAATTGCAAAACAATTTATAAAACTTGTTCAAAGAAAAAATATAAAAAGAAACAAGAAAAGGTATTTAAAAAAAAAATATTTTGTTTATGGATATATATCGATTATCTGACCTACTGGTTTCCCTTCACATATCACGGTTTCATCTCCCTCAGGTTCCAGGTTTAGTATCTCCGGAGATATCTGGAGATGAACTGTACTCCGGGTTGGAACTAGTTTCATTGCTTCCAACAGAGCATCACGACCAACAAAATCCGACTAAAATACATTTTTAACTTTTTCTTGAACTTGTTCTTGAACTTGTTCTTGAACTTGTTCTTGAACTTGTTCTTGGACTTGTTCTTGAACTTGTTCTTTAATTTGTTCTTGAACTTGTTCTTGAACTTGTTCTTGAACTTGTTCTTGAACTTGTTCTTGAACTTGTTCTTGAACTTGTTCTTAAACTTGTTCTTGAACTTGAGACTTAAAAGACGATTGTACGGATTTTCGCTGTCTCTGAAGTGTTTACTAGTATCTAGGGTTCCCAGTAAATGTGTTTCGTTCTTTGCCAAATCATGCATCCGACTTTATTTAACATTGAAATCATCCAGGTCGTCACTATAGTCTTATACTTTGAGGGTAACCCTGTACAACAAACTCTCTTTAACCTATCTATGAAATCTATGAAATCTATGAATTTACTTGTTTTTTGAATTTGATAAAAGGTAGAAGACCAGTTTCTATTGGAGTTGTATCTTTATTCATCTCCCGACCCCAGGCTCGGAATCCTACAACAAAGTATTAAAATGAAAAAATATTTTTTTATTGAATTTCATATTAAGTTGTAACAAAATATAAAGGACACTGAATCAGACTTCTTTTTGGATCAAGGCGCCAAAAAAATTTAGTTGTCATTGTTTGATAATTTAAAAAGAGAAAATGCTGCAGATAGAGCAACAATCAAAATTTAAAATCAAAGATGGGCACGAAGCGCCCTGGAAGCCTAGTTTTGTTTAATAATGAACTAGTAGAAATGTCCGTCGTTATCCGTGAAATTTTAAAACACTTTAGACATTTTTTAGCGTTTGTTACTTCCAGGGTACCTAATCTCTATGGGTTTCCTAAAAAAATCAACCAATTTGGTCCAAGTGCAGCCGCATGAGCTGAGAGCTTCATTATATAAATAGAAAAATAAAGAGTAGAATACAGTATGTTTTATACCCTTCTCTATCCTGAGGGTATTAACGACCCTGGTCCCGAAATGTCCAATGTCCAGATGTTTTCCCTCCTGCAGTACAGTATTGTACAAGGGAACCATGTTCTCCATATCCGTGTACACCTCCCAACCAAGCTCTCCTGCAATACAAGATTCAGGAAATATCATAAAAACCGAATTATACGTGAATCTTTGATATTTCAAAATCAGATTGGCAAGGACTCAATTCCTGTATAGAATATTCTAACCTATATAGGATATCCTAACCTAAATAGGATATTCTAACCTGTATAGGATATTCTAACTTGTATAGGATATTCTAACCAGTATAGAATATTCTAACCTATGTAGGATAATCTAACCTGTATGGGATATCCTAACCTGTATAGGATATTCTAACCCGTATAGGATATTCTAGCCTGTATAGAATATTATAAACTATATCGGATATTCTAACTTATATAGGATATTCTAACCTGTATAGGATGATATTCTAACCTGTATAGGATATTCTAACCTGTATAGGATATTCTAACCTGTATAGGATATTCTAACCTGTATAGGATATTCTAACCTGTATAGGATATCCTAACTGCAAGGCAGTCAACACCAGCAAGCTGAAGGTTTCTAGCTTCTAGAAACTTCCAATCATCAATCTACAAAATAAACTTGATTAAAAGAAACTATCCGAACTTCTAGAAACTTCCAATCATCAATCTACAAAATAAACTTGATCAAAAGAAACTATCCGAACTTCTAGAAACTTCCAATCATCAATCTACAAAATAAACTTGATCAAAAGAAACTATCCGAACTTCTAGAAACTTCCAATCAACAATCTACAAAAATAAACTTGATTAAAAGAAACTATCCGAACTGTTAATTTCCTATACAATTAAGAGACTCGAGCTCCTAAAAAACATCCTGAGTAAAATTATGCATTTTTGAAACCAAAAAGTGTTAAAACTATGTACCAATTGTGGCAGATGAAACAGACCGATTTAACTAATCTAGTGATTAAATAAGTGTCTAGTATAACAATTTTCTTAATAACAACAACAAATACTAAAATGTTGTTTATCTATTCAATTGTTTTCTGGTAATTAAACACTGTAGAAGAGACGAGGTTTGTTACATGTCTTACACAAATTTAAATATACGGAACAATTCTAGGTTTTTTGGAGGGCATCCAAAACATCAAACCCTCTTTTTTAATCTCCGTCATTTGTCCTACACAATACACTTATTTGTCTTACAGATAATTTTTACAACCCATCATTTGTCCTACAAATAGAGGAAAACATCTCTAGATCTGTAGGAAAACTAAATTGTAGGACAAATGATGTGTTGGGCAAATTATGTATAGGATAAAAGATGTGTAGGACAAATGATGTGTAAGACAAATGATGTGTAGGACAAATAATGTGTAGGACAAATGATATGTAGGACAAATTATGTGTAGGACAAATGATGTGTAGCACAAATGATGTGAAGGAAAAATGATGTATAGGACATGCAAATAATGTGTAGGAAAAATGATGTGAAGGACAAATGTTGTGAAGAACAAATGTTGTGAAGGACGAATGTTGTGAAGGACAAATGATGTGTAAGAAAAATGATGTGTAGGACAAAAGATCCAACCTTAGCATCAGATATCCTTGTCATGAGTTGACCGGCCCTAGGTCCAACTAGGCTGAGTACTCCTAGGTTGTCTGAATCATTTCTTATTTTCGCATCAACCTTCATATCTCGGGATATCTAAAATATATCTCAACTCAAGTATAATTTACTATTAGGTTGTCCAATAAATTCTTTTAAAGTTACTCAAGAATGGGATATGTGTTCCTACAAACATTTCAATAATTTTAATTATTCTTAATTGAATATTCGTAATGTTTGTTACTGTAATGGTTTGATAGAGCTGAGCAACATATTGTTTATTATCATGTTTATTTGTATTCTCTGCCACACGAGGATTATACTTTTCTATGTGATATTTATATTGTAAAAATATTAATCTTCGTGTAATAAATGATTTGATTTGATTTGAAGAAATCTATGTGTATATCCACAACCATTTGTGAATCATGCGGAAATTGCAAGCAGAAATAACTAAAACAAAAGTAAAATAAAAATAAAATAATGATAGATATTGTAATGAAGTTTAATTGTAAATGAAAAAAATCCTTAAAAAAAATTTTAAGATAAAATATTTCTTTAGACAAAATCACATATAAAAAAGAATTAAAGTCTTTTTGACTAGTTACTCAAATTTTCATGATATAGTTCTGCTATTTTATAATTGTATGTAATCAAACAAAATAGTTAAGATTTCAAAATCCTTTACAGAATTAATTAAAATTGAAAGATAAAGCAAAGACGACAATAATTGCAATGTTTATTGGATATGACTGTATTATTATACCTGCTCAAGATATCTTAAGTCATGTAGCTCGCTTCCTCCCCCAGTAACAACCAAAAAACTAGAAATTGTTTTATCTAATTTAATTTTCAAACAAAATGTTATATTTCTATTTCTATATGTATTCTGTTAAGTAAAACAATCTTCTCTGATTGTTTATTAAGGACATTTGCAGTTGCCACTGAGCCTCAGGACAGTCGAGGTTTTTATGTAGCACTTCTAGTTTCACATGGCTGAGCGGAACTCTGTTTGGAATGAAACATGGCAGTATACCCTACTTGAAAAAAAAGAAAACAATAGTTCAGAGAGGGAGGGGTTTTCCTGTGCTTCTCTTTCCCCCTCCCTCTTGCCAGAAACAAGGAAAATGAAAACATAGAAAGGAGAATCCTGATAGGTGGTGCACCATGCACAGTGATACCAATTTATACTCTACTGCCTGTGAGGAAAAGATTGCTGTAGACAAGGCCATATTCTGAAGTACAATAGCAGCAACTCCCCATTTATGTACATGCGATGCAACTCCAATGGGTAACCTTATAAAAATTTTGCAGAACTGGGAAAGAGTATAAATCCGGGAGAATGTAGGGATCTTCTATGGGAGTCCCTCCATACCCTCCCTTCCTGACCTATACTCCAAACTTCTAACGCCTCCATTTGTCACAAACAGCATTTGGAATTGATTTCTTAGTGGAAAAATGTTGTGGGCTCAATTTTTAAGACCTCTATGCATAACCAGGATTTGGACATGAAACTCAAATCAACAATTGCCAAAACCCTCCTGACCTTAAAACAGCCTGATCGACTGTGCAACGTCAGACATTCCTGGTTACCGCAATAAATCTGTAAACTAACTGAGTCAGCCAAATTAGAACACACTAAAACATTCAATGAACCTGTGTGAGTGTCTAAAAAATACTGGTTTCGACCAAATTTTTTTTTTAAATTATCAGAACCCCCGGGGACAGTCAACAAATGAAAAAGAAATAAAGGAAGAAATGATGACAAGAAGAATAATAAAATTAAAATTTTTCTGTTTTAATTGTATCCAAATTATAAAATTGTAATTTAAATCATAAATTGTGAAACAAAAATAAGGATGTTCGATCAAAACTGTCCAATAAGAGGTCAAGAGTTTTGATTGCTTTGGCTCAAATTTTGATCAAGGACCTGAATTACTAAATCAGTGAGTCCAAAACTAAAATTAATGTTATTTAGGCTTTAACGCTCAATTCTTCAAATTTTTAGAAAGGAACTGAGTTTTTGCCAGAAACTAAAATTTTTGAATTCTAATATATTTGCAACCCGATGTCGTAGACCTCAGATGTCAAACTATGATTTCTATTAGATCAAGTAATTACAGTTTAAAATATAAAATATATATCAGCCCATTAAATTTCAAATTTTATAAGGATTAGAAAATTTGAGTTTGTGGCAAAAACTCAATACATTTGTGGAATAAATCATCTAGATTTTCCATTTTTATTGGCTATCACTGTGAATAAGAATGATGGGAACTGTGTGTACCTGTCTTGTCCAGTTGATGTTATTGTGAGCTCTGCGTAGACTTTACCCCTGGGGGTAAGCAAATGAACTAAAGATGTTCTCCCAGGTTTAGGAACTGTACCAGCTACAGCGTAATCGAGAAACCTACGGCTATCAGGACCTGACACGGTAAACTTTCCAAACGAGGATAAATCAACCACTCCAACCTTCTTTGTGACAATATCGTACTCTCGACCCTGCTCTAGCTGCCAGTTGGTTCGGTTAAAGGACGGTTTATAATCAGCAGTTTCTCCGGGTGCAGCAAACCATAGAGGAATCTCCCAACCTGAGGAGAATCCCATTCTAGCTCCTGCATCCTTTAATGCTTGATAGAGGGGGGTTTTCCTTTGTGTTGGTCTCCCTGAAAACCGCTCCTCGTAAGGGTATCCAAATGCATTGTTCATCCCGTAGGATTCTCTTGTTTTCTCCAGAGCATAATCCATAGTTGTCCACTTTCCATACCTTAACGGATCCATTTCACTCAACTCAAACGGTGCTTCACCGTCACAAATCCAACTAGAGAGATATTTCCCAACTCCTCCTCCGTGTGCTATTCCGTATCCGAACCCTAGAGCCAACCACATGTTGGGAAGCATACTAGGACCAACCATAGGTAGCAGATCAGGAGTATATGTAATAGGACCGTTCACTACCGTTTGAATCTCTGCGGTCTGAAAACAGGGAAAGTCCTCCATGCATTTCTCTAGATGTGGTGAGAGTCTGTCAAGATCTCCAGGATACAGTTCCTTTCCGAACCCTAGAGGAACACCCTTCTCCGCCCAGTCTTTCATCTGAACCATCACCTCCGCACTCTCATAAGGTCCAATCAGTAATCCATCTCTCTCCATTCTCAGATAGAATGATCCGTCCAGATGACGGAGAACTGGGATCTCTTTCTTTAGTGCTTGAACCTCTGGGACGGATTTAGTGACAAGATACTGATGCTGGACCGGGACTAGAGGCATATCCTGACCTGCCAACCTTGCAACCTCACGACCCCAGAACCCAGAGCAGTTTACAACCCTGTTAGCGTGAATTGAACCTTTCGGAGTAACAACGTCCCAGGTTCCATCCGTCCTAGGATTTAAACCCTGAACCTCAGTGTTAAGTTCAATGTTTGCTCCGAATTTCCTTGCTCCGATAGCAATTGCTTGAGTAAGACTGTACGGGTCGATGTGTCCCTCGCCAGGAGAAAACAATCCACCATGAATCTAAAAAAGTAAAAAATTTCTAAAATTTTTAATTTTTACTTTTTTTATCAGTAAAAAGTTTTAGCGATAAAGTAACTTTTTCGCCCTACAACGGGAAATATTAGGTGTGATAAAATCCATCAAAATTGAATAAAAAATTAGATTAAGAATTTCACAAAATAAATGTTTGTTATGAAACCCTCAAAATTGGCCTGATTAATAGGTGTACCCTGTATCACAGTCTCACAGAGTAATAACATCTTTATTTAATGACAAACTACCATTAATGTAGGTGTATGATAATAATTCATTAATGTAATGAAAACAAAAGAAACTGAGTACACCCATTCAAAGTCTAGTTTACTAATACATATGTCTTTGCTACCTAGAAGGGAATTTAATGAATTGGAGAAAGGTCGCTGATTCAAATCCCGAATCACCGATTCAAAGTTAAAGATTAATGAGGATTTGAATTTAGGCTTTGAACCGGCGGGGGTAGTTAATGGCGACCTCTCCAATTCGTAAAAAATTGATATGCCAAACTTGAACCTTTTGATCTAGTAGAATTCATAGTTTGAAAAAAAAAACAATTTGATTTTGAGCCAAATAATTCTTTTCTTGTAGTAATAACCAGACAACTTTGGAATGTAAAGACGACTTTTAGACTTAAGTTATGACTTATGATAGTTCAATAAGCATGGGCCGGATCAATTATGCAGTGCACAACTTTTTGCTTAGTAATAACATCAAATACAACTGAGTTTTGCTATAATGTCGTCTTCCTATTTCAGAGTTTTCTGGTTATTACTTGAGATAAGCAATATTGGCAAGAATAAAAGGGTTCTGAACAACCCAAAAAACGAGGGTCTGAAAATTCTAAACGTTCATTTCTTTTGTTTTTGTTGATGCAGGATAAAATAAAATGTTCTTACATTATCCATCCTGAGAATAGGAACCAGTTCAGCCACCTCGTCAGGATTTAACAAGCGCAGAGGAGCATCTTTGTGTCCATTACGACCCAAAGCATATCTAAAGTTTTTAAAAATATTAACATATATTAACAATATATTAATATTAACAATTGAAATAAAATTATAAAATGTTTAAAATTAAAAACAATCGCATTGTATGTTTGTAATTGACAAAAAAGTATATTAAAGGGACAGACCGGCCATTTAAGGTTGAATGAATATGCGTGATGTGGACAAATTCTTAAGGATTCATTTAAGATATATAAAACTTTTCCACGATGTATAATTACTGAGTTTGAGTGCATAGTCGACGTTCAAAATCATGAATTTGGGTGGGTTCGTTTTCAGGATCTTTTTTTAAAATTATTAAATAACGACGACTAAAAATAAAGTAAAAATTATACAGCAAACTAATTAGATGGTTAGGAACATATTTCTCAAAAGAAATTTGCCAATAAATCAATGCTACTTTCAATTATTTCGTTTTCATCATTATCTTGAATTTATAATTTTCTATGAATTTGTTCGCAGATTTCTAAAAATTCTTCAAATGTCGTCTTTTCAATAAAAATTCCAGAAAATCTTTGTGAATAATTAGAGATTAAAGAAACTAATAATTGAGTAAGATTACTTATTTTCGATGATAAGATTAATTTTTATTTTCTCAACCTGTTACTAAACCACTAATTAGTTTATTATAGAATTTTGTTCACATTTTTTGACGTCGTTATTTAATTATTTTAAAAAAGCAATTCTGAAAACGTATCCACCCAAAAGTACGATTTTGAACGTCGATTTTGCACTCAAACTCAGGATTTACAGATCTTTAAAAAGTTTTATATGTCCAAATGAATGCTAAAGAATTGGTCCACAACACTGCATACTCAGTTCATCTACCTTACATGGCCGGTCTGTCCCTTTTAAAAGATAAAGTTTTCTTCAGAAATATGAGAGACAAAAAATGTATAAAGATGATGATTGATGAAGTAGCAAATAAACAAAATTAAGAAATTATTTTTATTTCAAACAATTAAGGTATTTAAATACTTATAATGTGAAATATCGATTAATTTTTCGTTTTATTTATTGTCCAAGTTGTTTAGTGTTCTATATATATTGATGTAGTCAGGGTACATACATTTTAAGATTAATTTAAACCAAATTTAATAAATAAATAATTGTGGAACTAACATCTACTTTTTTACTCTACAGAGGTTTGATCCATCACCATTACTGAATTTTAAATTTGGTTATTTTTTCAAAATGATTGACTCTTTGTTACAACCTTAATTTTTTTAATCCCTATATCTTTGCAACCTGATGGTGTAAAACCGATGACATAGATTATTTGATCTATCAAATTCCATACTTTAAAATATTTAAGTTTGTACGACAGTGGGTTGCAAAGATATAGAGATTTGAAAATTTGAATTTGTGGCGAAGACTTAAAAGTTTGACCTCATTTCATCTAGTCTAGGAATAGATGTTGCTAGACGGAGAGAACCTGGACGATGAAACCCAACTTCTTGACCTGAAAACAACCTAATTTTATTTATATTTGAAAGAGACCGTGCATTTCTTGAATTGAAAAGGAACTTTTAGTTGTTTGGATCTTAACGGACTTTTCATTTTTAGATCTTAAAGCAACTGTTGTTTGGATGTTTGGTTCTTGTTAAAATATGAAGCTACTTAAGGATCATTTATTAGATATTTTGAGACTGTTCATTGTTTATATTTTAGAATGTTCATTAGTTGAATCTTACAGGAACTGTTTTACTGTTCATTGTAAAGATCTCTCAAACAATGTTCATTGGTTAAATCTTACAGGAACTGTTTTACTGTTCATTGTAAAGATCTCTCAAACAATGTTCATTGGTTGAATCTTACAAGAACTGTTACACTGTTCATTGTAAAGATCTCTCAAACAATGTTCATTGGTTGAATCTTACATCTTAAATCTTAAATCTGTTATCGTTCAGATCTCTCAAACAATGTTTAGTTATTAAATCTTACAGGGATATTATACGGTTCATTCGTTAAGATCTTCAAGGTAATGTTCATTGGTTAAATCTTACAGGAACTGTTATACAGTTCATTAATAAGATCTTTCAGGTAATGTTTATTGGTTAAATCTTATTGGAACTGTCATACTTTTCATTGTTAAGATCTCTCAAACAATGTTCATTGGTTAAATCTTACAAGAACTGTTTTTGTGTTAATCGATAAGATCTCTCAAACAATGTTTAGTTATTAAATCTTACAGGGATATTATACGGTTCATTGTTAAGATCTTCAAGGTAATATTCGATGGTTAAATCTTACAGGAACTGTTATACTGTTTATTGATAAGATCTTCCAGGTTATGTACCGTACGTTCATTTCTTAAATCTTACAGGAACTGTTATACTGTTCATTTATAAGATCTTCAAGGTAATGTACGTTCATTGCTTAAATCTTACAGGAACTGTTATTCTGTTCATTAATAAGATATTTAAGTTAACGTTCATTGGTTAAATCTAACAGGAACTGTTATACTGTTCATTGTTAAGATCTTTCAGGTAATGTAATTTCATTGGTTAAATCTTACAGGAACAGTTATACTATTCATTCATAAGATCTTCAAGGTTATGTATGTTTTTTGCTTACATCTTACAGGAACTGTTATTCTTTTCATTGATAAGATATTTAAGTTAATGTTCATTGGTTAAATCTAACAGGATCTGTTATGCTGTTCATTGTTAAGATCTTTCAGGTAATGTAATTTCATTGGTTAAATCTTACAGGAACAGTTATACTATTCATTCCTAAGATCTTCAGGGTTATGGATTTTTTTGCTTAAATCTCAGAGGTAATGTTTTAATTTAATTGTTAATATTATTAAGACAATGTTTATTTCCTATATCTGTAAAAGACTCCTTTACTTTTCATTGCAAAGATCTTTAAGGTGGTGTTCATTGTTTTAAAGGATATTTTTATGGCGATATTTAAATTACTGTTTATAATTGTTGATATCTTAAAGAATCCCCTTCGGTGTGTGGGTTTTAAAGGGACCGCTTGCTGTCAAATTTTTATTATAAAAATGAAATGAATTTTTACAAAACCTGTCTCCGCGGTTATCTGCGCGTAGAGATTCATGGAATCATAATTAATCCGCTTCACGTTGGGTGTTGGATGATATATGGTGACCAGCCCAGCTGCATGCCAGGTTGACCCAGCGGTCAGATCAGTTTTCTCTAGGAGTAGAACATCCCTACCCCGTCTAGCAAGATGGTAGGCTACAGATACTCCAACTATACCTCCACCAACAACTACAGTATCTCGGACATCTCGGGACTCACTCGAAGAAGTTCTGCGAATCAAGTTTAAAAGTACTGTTCAATGACAAATGTTGGTTACAACATTATTTTGGAAGAAAATATGCAAAATGTAAAAATTTTAAAATTTTTTTTAAAGGAATGGCCTATCTATAAAATGTCTTCGAGAAAAAGTCTCTTTATCTAATGTATTCCAGCAAAGTATTTCGTTGTGGCCTGGAAGAAAAAATCGGGAAAAGGTAGTGTTCCTTTTTTTAACGTTTATGATTCAAAATTCTGACTAAAAAAGCAGACATTTTTCAAATGCATGTATTTCAAAAACTCTTTCATTAGTACGTAGCAAATCTAAGTTACTGCAAATAGGTTGTCAATCTATTTGAGTTACTGTACTAAACAATTGCAGTAAATGGAGTGTTCGCGAAAAAAAACGCTGAATGTCCAAGAGCGCATACTCAGTGTAAATTCAATTAGTTTCATTGTATAACTCAAACCTTAAATATAGTTAAATTAAATTTATACCCCCTCCCCCCTCTATTTGCTCTGCTTAAAACTAATTGTTGTCTTATTCTTATTCTTCGTTAAACAAATTTTATTTTCCGGCTGGGGCTGGATTTTCGAATGTTTTTTAAAAATTGGAAAATTTTATCTTTGTTTTGTAAAATCCTCGAAATTGAATATTCTCAAAAGGTACACTTTTATCTATTAAATGTTACTATTGGTTAATGTTAAAATCAGGTGTGCTGGGCAAGAATAAGCTTGCACCCCTTAAAAATAGTTGACATAGTTTCTTCCCGCTTCTCGCTAATTATTTTCAAATTTTACCTTTCATCTAAAATCTCCCCCCGCCTACTTGATAAACAGTTATAGCTATATTCCTTTTGCTGGTGTTTGGCATGTCTTCGCGCAACCCCCATGAAGGCTAGAAGGTCAGGGGGAGATTACATTTGAAGAGGAGGATTAGGGGTGAATAAAGAGGACGAAGAACTGATAATAGTCTTCAGGAGACTACTTAGGACTTCAGAAAGTAATACAGAACTATACAGAGGGATGCATTATAATATATAGTCCTTGAATCGGGACTGCATTGCAGGGCTACATGTGGAGTAGTCAAGAGACTACTGAGGACTTCAGAGAGAAATACAGAACTATACAGAGGGATGCATTATAATATATAGTCCTTGAATCGGGACTACATTGCAGGGCTACATGGGGAGTAGTCAAGAGACTATTGAGGACTTCGAGAGAAATACAGAACTATACAGAGAGATACATTATAATATATAGTCCTTCAATTGGCACTACATTGACCTACAATGAGGAGTAGTTTTAAGAGACTACTTTTGACCTTAGAAAGAAATACAGAACTATACAAAGAGATACATTATACTTAATATAGAAAAACAAAGCAAAGAGATAATGATTAAATTATTAGAGTTTTCACCTCCTTACGTTTGAACTATTTTTACGGTCATTAGAATCGCAGGCCCAAACTTTGACGCATTTACGCAGAATAAAACTTGTTGTCAAGAGCCGGTGTCGTCGTCTATCAGTTCAACTCCCTGCGACAGTTCATCTCCCCCTAGTGTTATTAAACATTTCAACACAATATTATACATTAAAATCAATGCCATAACACGTGCCGATGTTTGTTAACATATATATTAAAATTTAGATTTAAAAAACACAATATATTTTCTGTGTTTTGAATAAATATTGATTGTTTGAATATTTGAAAGGAAGACTACATGGGCAATAACTCCTTTTGCGTTGTCCCCCTTCAATAATACAATTTATATTGTAATGTGCATTTATTTATTAAATTAACAATTTTACAAGTTTTTATATTGTTTTCTAAAATTGTGTTGAATTGATGACAACTTTAAGGGGAATGAACTGTCACAAAGGAGAACTGATGCGGGACCCCGACCCAAGGTTATAATGCAAGGAAAGTTAATTGCAGTTGCGTATACTCTGCGTAAATATTAAAACCAGTTCTCTCTGGGCGGAATTTGTAAACAAGAATAGATGCACCAGTGTTCGTTCAGTATCCGAGGAGGTTAAAAGCATTTAATTTTGATAATTTTGATAATTCACATAATAGTTTCCTATGACCAGAATATTTCATTGATTTTTTATGTGAAAGATGGATTCCATGTCAGGCTCGACTTCCGTCGTGTGTTTACATTACCACCCAGAGACAGTACACTGCAGTACAAAAGATGCGCACACCTCTGAAATAAATTTCCTTGCATTATAACCTCGCACCGACCCATGTTAAACTCGTTTCTGGGGGCGCGGCATTTTCTGTATTGTAAAAATACTGTCAGACCGGTTCTTAATCTTATGTAACTCCGGATAATTCTGGATTCGATATGGTGCTTAACTACAGGGTGTCCCACGAAACATGATGAAAAAAGGTTGTCTTTGATCTTTGAATAATTTGCTGTAGTTATTTGAACACCAATTTCAGAAAACAAATTCCAGAACTTTTAATAATAAAATATCAAAAATCATACATGTAAAAGTAGGTTGACGAATAAATGCCGCAAATAATTTCAAAGATTAAAGACGATGACTCAATCCAAACCAAAGACGATGACTCAATCCAAACCAAAGACGATGACTCAATCAAGCAGGAAAAGCAGCGAAATCTTCCTTTTATTAATATTATATTCGAATAAATGGTTTCCGTTAAAGAAACCCGATAAATACAAGAAGAGCTAAATGTAGTTCTAGAAAGAGCGGCGGGAAGGTCCCTGGAGTGATTATATAAAATATAAATTGTAAAAATCTTTTAATGAAGTTTTTGAACTCTTATATAATTCTCTCGAGAGTATCTTTAGTTGTAAAATTAATGCAAAAAACTAGTTTTAAATGCATTTATTTCTGTTGCTAATCTAAACTTTAAAACAGATGTGCTTCGCTAATACTTCTGTGATATGAATGGCATGATTTTCTTTAAGAAGTTAATATTTTGCTAGTTTTTTTAAGAGAGGGTTATTTTTTAGTGTCTTAATTGCAATTGATTTACTTTTTTGTAGCCCTAATGAATTGCTACATTGCTACAGAGGGTGGGGGAATGAACGTAGAAAATGCTACATTTCTAGGAGGAGATTTAATTTTATATTGGTCCAAAAATGAAAAATATACAACCTTTAAATATTTTAATATTTTGAATTTTGTATATATCTTTAATCTTTAGTTTTGTTGTAGGTCATTAAAGGAAAAAGTGAACATAAGATACAAAGAAATAGTAACTAAAGTCATAAACGCTTATGTTACTGTGGTATTACTTTCTAAAAAAAATTAGTATTCCTAATAAATATATTTTAGATGAGTTCGAACATTCTATAACTTTAATCAAGGAAGGAAGGCAAAATGGACATTTTATCTAAAATATGGTAAAAATCTGTTTTTTTTATGTCCCATGGGCAATAAATGCAATTTATTTCTTGTTTTTATTCCATCGCAATTACAATGAAATAAAAACAGATTAAAAATATTTGTTTTTTTAGTTTTTCTCTAATTTGCATTTAATTTACAATGCAGTGCAGTGCAGCTTCGACAAAACAAGTTTTTTATATAATTTTCTAATTGTGCGCATAATTTTGTTATTTATAAACAAAAACACAGTTACGGTAATTTTCTTAACACATTCTGCGTAGAAAAATATATATAATACACTATAAAGTGTTTCACAAGATAGTTCCCGTCTTGGATATCCAGTTCTAACCAGATTTTTTTTTGAAACGCAGTTTTCTCTCCACATCAAGATATTTCTGTTACCAACTGTATATACTGTATATATATTGTATATATTGTATATATATATATATAGTAGTATCTACACTTTTATATAGCTATAGTTTTATTATAAACAATCTCAACGTGGTACAAAAATTTTTTTTTGTTTACAAAAATAAAAGACTGTAAATACACACATTTATCATATTTGCCTTTTGTACCCCTTCTAAGAACTTTGTTCCTTTAAAATAAAATCGAGCATAGTTGGACCATGGGAAAAAAATTGATCCTTAAAAATATTAATAACAGTTAAAATGTATTTATATATATATACTTTGCTTGTCTGTCTGGGTGTTTGTTTGTCTGTTTGTATCCATTAAACGTAAAAACGGCTGAACCGATCGGGCCCAAATTTTGTGTGGGACCTCACGTGTGACGTGACCCCAGGGTAGGTTTATGAATGATCAAAATTTCTAAAATTTGCGTTAAAAAGTTTTTTTATTTTTGTAAAATTTGAAAATGCGCAAAAAATATTATGAAATCCGCAAACTAAAGCCACAATTAAAAGTTGAAATAGAAGAATAAAAACTCTAGTAATTAATACTTATATTAGTTGATTACGCATATATTTGATTTTGTTGTATTATCTGTACTGTACACAAAATACATAAACAGGATTTGAATTTTATGAATTAGAAAATACAAAATAGTTTATCCACAGTATTAAGAACATTTAAAAATAATAAAAAGGAAAAAGTAAGTTTTTAATTACTGAAATAAATGAACATATGCTTAATACTTAAATCTTCTAATTCTTAAAACCTGGTACCAAATTTAATGAATTTCAGCTAGGTCGATGAATCAAATCTTGAATCATCGATTTAAAGTTGAAAATTCATGAGGATTTAAGTCAATGATTAAAGATTTTAACTAATTTTAACTAACAATAGAAATTGTGACAAATTTTCAATTCCTTTAATAAAAGTTTGCATCCTTTATTTAAAGAAATCCTGACTTATATTTGATTATATTTGATAATTATATTGGATTTAGATATATTACAGTATGTTTATAAAATTTTGCATATCATATATATTTTTTACCTGCTTAGGTTTCTACTGGGTGTTGTGCATGGGAGACCCAGGATAGAATGAAGTTGAGCGAAACCCTGGGAACATATTTTCAGCTTGGTCCGAGACATTGTTGTAGGTTTAGAGATCATAATACCAGGCACAAGATTCTAGAACAACATTGATCCTTGATCTTTGATCCTTGATCTTTGATCCTTAAAAGAAAGAGTAACACTTGTTCGTTCTCTCAGTTCACTCTGCAACGCACAACAGATATGACAGCTCGCAAGGTTTACTATAATCTAAGCTTTAGTTCGATTCTGGCATTAAATGTTTATTTTTTCTATTAAAATATTTTCAAAAATTTCAAATTGAAACGGATTTATTCAGGGAATACGTTCACCCTTATTGAAACCTTCCTAAGTTAAGCAACCCTTGAAATATCTTCTTAAATTAAGCAACCCTTGTAATATCTCCTTAATCTAAGCAACCTTTGTAATATCTCCTTAATCTAAGCAACCTTTGTAACATCTCCTTGAACTTGGCAACCTTTAAGTAATATCTCCTCAATCTAAGCAACCTTTGTAATATCTCCTTAAACTAAGGAACCCTTGAAATATCATCTCAATCTAAGCAACCTTTGTAATATCTCCTTAAACTAAGCAACCCTTGTAATATCTCCTTAAACTAAGCAACCCTTGTAAAGTTGTAATATCTCCTTAAACTAAGGAACCCTTGTAATATCTCCTTAAACTAAGGAACCCTTGTAATATCTCCTTAAATTAAGCAACCCTTGTAAAGTTGTAATATCTCCTTAAACTAAGATACCCTTGTAATATCTCCTTAAACTAAGCAACCCTTGTAATATCCCCATAAACTAAGCAACCCTTATGAAGTTGTAATATCTCCTTAAACTAAGGAACCCTTGTAATATCTCCTTAAACTAAGCAACCCTTGTAATATCCCCTTAAACTAAGCAATTCCCTTGTGATAGTTTCTTAAACAAAGCCTTTGTAATATCCCAAGAAATTGAGTTATCCTATATCTCAAAATAAGAAACTCTTTCTAAAATAGTTTCTCAAATATCTCTTGAGCAATAATTATTAACAGGGGTGGCTTCCACGGGAGGGAATATTTGAATGATTGCGCGCAAATCGCGGCAAAGTTTGTTATCCCCCCTGGCAAAAAATGTCCCCCCCCTTGGAAATTTTTACAGGGAATTTAGTCATTTTTATGTGCAGCAAGTAACATTTTTTCTTAACTTCTTAAATTTTAAAAAATTAAAATCTAATGCTAATTCCTTCTCGTCTTGCGCTCCTAATTTTTCCAGGGGAATATCCCAAAATTTTCCGGGCAGGGGGACGTCCCCCCCCCCAATTTTCCAGGGGGAGGGGAAGTTCCCCTTTACCCCCTGAAGCCACCTCTGTTTTTGATAAATCTCTTAATAAGTTTGACTGTTTTCTATCAGATTTTTGATCCTTCTAACCCTCTCCTTGTATAGGGATTATTAGAGAGACTCCGCGAGGGTCCAGTTATTGGAGATGGAGGGTTTGTTTTCCAACTAGAGAAAAGAGGATATGTTAAGGTAACAAAAAGTAATTTAACCTGGATCTATTTTATTCTGTAAACCTGGTTCTATAATATTCTGTAAACCTGGATCTATTTTATTCTGTAAACCTGGATCTATTTTATTCTGTTAACCTGGATACAGATTATTATGTAAACCTGGATACATATTATTCTGTAAACCTGGATACATATTATTCTGTAAACCTGGTTCTATTTTATTCTGTAAACCTGATCTATTTTATTCTGTAAACCTGAATCTTTATTCTCTAAACCTGGATCTATATTCTGTAATCCTGGATCTATTTTATTCTGTAAACCTGGATCTATTTTCTGTATACATTGAACTATAAATATTTGAAGGCTGGTCCCTGGACCCCGGAAGCATCAGTTACTCATACTGATGCTGTCAGAAGCCTGCACAGGTATAATGCAAATAAAATATTGTATTATTTAAAGGGACTGCATGCATAATTTCAAGTGACATGCTTCTCTTTACATATAGGTTTACTTCAAATGACTTCTTCATGGAGGATCAAAAACGTTAAATGTGGTAAAGGATAAAGTATCTAGATATGAAGCAAAGGATGAAGTATCCATATATGAAGTAAAGAAACTATACACTCACCACAAACTCGACTTTCCTGATCCCTATATTTTTGCTACATGATGGTGAACTGTAAACTTTAAGGAATCAAGGGCAACCTGTACAATGAACGGTTAAAATACAGGCATTAGATTGCTAAAACTGGACAGTAGATCAGAAATGAATCAAAATCTTCTTGTGAGATTATTCTGGTTGTAAAGTTTTAAAATTTCAAACCTTGACTTTCAGAGATAGTATAACAAATCAGATTGCAAATATGATAGGGATTATAGAATATTTGAGTTAGTGGCAAGTAATCAGTTATTTTTTAATCGATAAGTGTGATTCCTATCCGATCAAACTCTTATATCAGAGATCTGTCTTTTAACAGACCGACAAAAACTATTTTCTTGAAAAGTTTTTTTCAGGGATTTCCTGAGAGCAGGTTCTGACGTTATGCAAGCATTCACCTTCTACGCTACTGAAGACAAGCTGGTCAACCGAGGGAATAAAGCCGGGGAAACTATTGGGGTTGATAAGATTAACAGGTATATTTCACAATTCAATTGTTCAAGTTTTCTACTTCTGAAAACCTCAATTTTTTAACTTCTCGGCTGCTAAATATCTGTTCAGGTTTCTCCAAATGCCCCTCTGATAGGTTGAATTTTAGACACTTTTCTGGATACCAACTAAAGATTATATATTAACTTTTGAGATTAATAAAAAAGATTAGATCAAACAAGGTTATAATGCAAGGAAAGTTAATTGCAGTTGTGTATACTCACATATTGAAACCAGTTCTCTCTGGGCGGAATTTGTAAACAAGAATAGATGCATGAGTGTTCGCTTAGTATCCGGGAGGATAAAAGCATTTAATTTTATAATTTTCATAATTCACAAAATAGTTTCCTATGACCAAAATATTTCATTGATTTTTTATGTGAAAGGTGGATCCCATGTTGGGCTTCGACATCCGTCTTGTGTTTACATTACCGCCCAGAGACAGTACACTGCAGTACAAAAGATGCGTACACCTCTGAAATAACTTTCCTTGCATTAAAACCTTGAGATCTAGCATTGATTGCGATATCCCCAAGTTTCCAGCTCAGGACGTTTAGTTTCCCATGTTCTCAATTCTTATTTAGAGCGTCCTCTAAGCTTGCCCGTGAGGTTGCAGCTGAAGGCGATGCTCTAACCCTGGGAGGAATCTCCCAATGTCCGTCCTATCTCTCCGGGATGTCCAAGGACGATGTCAAGGCTGAGTACAGGAAGCAGATTAAAGTATTTGTCGAGGAAGAAATGGATTTTCTACTCTGTGAGGTAATTTTAATAATTTTTAAGAAATATTTAAAATAGTAAAATTTCGGTTTAAAAATTCGTTGCATTACTAAATGATATATTTAGTATTTCGAGCACATAGAGGAGATGGAGTGGGCTATTGAGACCTGTAAAGAAACGGACAAGGTCGTGGCAGCGTCCATGTGTATTGGTCCAGAAGGAGATATGCACGGAGTGTCAGCGGCAGAATGCGCCGTCAGGTATACATGTCTGCCTTTATAGATCTTCTCAATAACACATAATAGCGTGAATCCATTCTAATAACCATTCCTGGTCAGGCGGGTTAGGATTTTTTGGTATCTTATCCTCTGAGTTTGCACAATAAACACCTTTGCATAATTTAGATAATCAGGTGTTGCGAGCCTTTATTCGCATGCAAGGTTACTCACACAAAATAATCCTTTGAAGAAGAACTTTTCTATTTCACTTGAATTAATTTTTTAGTTTTTTGCTTTGTACATACTTTATTAGATTTTACAAGTTTAGATTAGGCAGAATAGAAAAATAAGCATTTAACTTGTTTTATGTTAACATAACGAATTTCATGGCATCATTGATGTCTCATCTTTTGTGTGTGACCATCAGGGCCCGGGGCGAAACGTCATGGGGGTGTGTTTGTACCAAAAGAGTGTGTGTAAAGTTTACCGAACCGAAGGTGTGTACTGTATGTATATACAGTTCATACGAATCTCGGTATTTGTACAGTCTAGGAGAGTACATTTGTTTATTGTTAATTGTTAACTTAAAAATAAGTTTAATATACATTTAATATATTATTTATATATTTAAGTCAACACTATAAGCCAAATTTTCATGCAAAACATATAATTTAATTAAAGTTTACAATGAACTAGTCGTTATTCAAGCTTAATTATAATTGACAAAATTGTTCTGCAATTTCCTTGACTGTAGTCATGTTGTGTGTCTGTGCTTGTAAGGTTTACCGAACTTGTCTGCAAAGCAGTGCGACTGGCTTTCTCATGCCAGACCTGCACCATTTCCTTTCCATTTATTTCTATTCCCTGGTAACCATGTAGAAAAATTTATTTCTGAAAAAAATCTTTATATTTGCGCAGGATGGCTCGAGCCGGAGCAGATGTAGTTGGTGTAAACTGCCACTTTGATCCTTTTGTCTCGCTGGAGGCGCTGAAGAAGATGAAGGAAGGGTTGGAGGCAGCAGGACTTAAACCTTTTCTCATGTGTCAACCTCTAGCCTATCATACACCAGACGCTGGCAAGCAAGGGTTTATTGATCTACCAGAATTCCCTTTTGGTTTAGAGGCAAGAATATGTACTAGGTAAATTATATTTTTTATACCAGACATGATAGAAATAGATGCCCAATATAACTTTGTTGAAGACTATCTAAAAGTTGAGTTTTCACATATTTTTTTTTTAAATCCACCAGTCTCATTCATTGTTGATAACCCTGTTTATAGGATATAAATCTGATTTCAGGGTTTGAAAGTCATTGGTTATTCAGTAAGGATGAGACTTCAGAGACGACTGTCCTGAATTTATTCAGTCTTATTTCTAACAATGATATATCAACCTCAATATTGTTGCATTTAAATAGTTTCGGATCACCCCTGTATACTAACTTTTAACTTTAAGATGGGACATGCATAAGTATGCGAGGGAGGCCTATGAGCTTGGAGTCCGATATATCGGAGGATGTTGCGGATTCGAACCTTATCATATCCGAGCAGTAGCAGAGGAGCTTGCTAAGGAGAGAGGACGTTTTCCTCCTGGCTCCGATATGCACGATGCCTGGGGAAAAGGACTAGAAATGCACACTAAACCATGGGTCCGCGCACGCGCAAACAGAGAGTATTGGGAGAAGTTGATGCCAGCCAGTGGTCGGCCATATTGTTCAAGTATGTCCTGTCCAGATAACTGGGGAGTAACACAAGGAGATAGTGTTCTTAAACAACAAGCAACTTCTACCTCTAGCGAGGAAATCGCTAAACTCAAAGCGATGCAAGACCAGAAGAAGGCTTGAAGTTTAGATTGTAATCCATGATTAATGAATAGAGTTAATGTTTAGATTTTAGAAAATATTTTTTGCCGAAATAGTTTTAAAATGATAAAGGTAAGTTTTTCCACAATATTCACAAGTGTTTAAATGAAAATTGTAAATGCACTCAGATATATAATTATTCAGCGGTCGAAACTATTCTGTAGAGTATCGTTAACCTTAAAAGCTTAATCTCGATATCCAATGTAAACACTTTTAATTAATTATTGAACCATCAATTAGAATTATTCACCATACAAAAGATCACAACTTCAAAAGATTTTTATAGCGAACATTTAGTTCAAACACGGTGACAAATTGATATCTCAATATTTTGTGTTTTTGTTGAAATACATAAATATAACATAATTTTCTCGCTTTATTCATATTATTGCAAAGAAGTGAATTCAATTCAGAATTCTAAATTCTTAATTATAATGCATATGTTGGTCCACATCGGACAAAATGGAATAAATGCTAAAAAATGGAATTTTATTTTTGTTAATTGAAATCTATTTCATTAGAATTATCTATTTACAATCTCTTTATTTTGAAAATATGGTAGACAAATTATTTTTTTAAATTATAAGAAACAGAATATTTTACCAAACATATTTATTCACAAATAAATTACAAAATAAGAATTGTTGACCATTTGGGCAAAAATTACATTACTTTGTCAAGATGATGGCTTTAAAATTGACTTGCTTAAATAAGTTTTTAGATAAGCAGGATATACGAAAATTATTGCAAAACAAAAAAGATCTGTAGTTTTCTACTTTGTAACTGCATCATAATTTGTATTTTTCTTGAACCATTTTTGATAAATCTTGAGAGCTGCAAAGAATGCCCAGAGTGGTAATCCTGTGATCATGAGCTGAGCTATTGGAGCTACAGAAGCCAGCTCGCCTTAACACCAAACAATTATTTTTATTAATAAGAAATTAAACTCAAAATTAGGGGGGGGGGGAATCTATCTTGTTAAAAACATCATTCTCAAAAAATAATTTAACTAAGAAACAGTTACGCTTTTAATATAATATTTTCTCAATTATTTTTGAAAAGATGACGCAGCCTCAGTTGGGCATAATAGTAATTCTACATTATTATTTATCATGGTGTGTCAAACTTGGAAACTTTTGTGCAGTTTTTATAATTAAACAATTTCTGGTTTTAGAGTTCAAAACTCCAACTATAAAAAGTATTTAACCTTTTTTATACTTATATACTTCATAAACTCAAACTATTCAAGACTAGCCACGTAGATTACCTACGAAAATTTAACTAAGTTAAAATTTTTGTTTTACGCTGATATCTCTACAAAGACAAGATTAAAGTTGGTTTTTACTAGGTTTTCAAGACGTCTGAGTTTTAAAGGTTGGATGGCTTTACAGTGTAAAGGATTGAAGTATTTTTCATTGCTAAACTGAGATAAATGTTTAGAATTCATGATCTTGTAGAATATGAATCTTTAAAGTTAAGGTTACGAGCACAATACAGAAAGACAGAAGTGTTATGATTTCAAAGATTTATCTGTATTTATGCATTTTATTAATATGCTTCACAATACAGAGGAGAATCTCTTTCTTTCTATTTAATTTGCTATATGTAGATAACATAATAATTTTATTAATTAATAAACGAGAAATTAAGTTTCTTAAGAAGATTAACTTTATGATGATTTTTATTTCTTTTTCAAAATCAGCTATACAAAACTAGAACAAGTAAATAGAGATGTTAAGAAGAAAGAGAATGCAAAACAGCTGCTATCATCTGATTGTTTATAGAATTTTGTAATAGAAATTGTTAAAACCAATATTAAAAAATTATTTTTGAAAAATCTATATGATCCACTATTTTAAGAACAAAACAGAAAGATCCCCAAGAGACTGGGAGCAGTATTAACTAGGGAAGGACCCAGATCTTTCAAAAAGATTATTAAAACTATATGTAACACTTTTTCATTAGTAAACTTTCACTTGCTACAGTTTTTTTTTTTTTTAAATACATATTTATTTTTAATCTGATGGCGGGCGTATCTAGACCTTCAATATTTTAGACTTTGACTTTATTTGGCTTAAATAGTTTAAACCATCAAAGTTTTTAAACCATAAGTTTGCAAAGGAAAAAATAGAGTTAAAATATTCTGTTTTAAAGCATTTCCCTCTTTTTAAGATTATTTTTCCCACAATGATGTTGTTTTTTCATTAAACCCAGCTGTAGTTTTGAAAAGCTGCAAAATTTATTAGGCAATGCACTTCGGTTGCATGATAACTGCAGCAGATTTTTTTTACTTGGAAACAATTGTTGTATGCTTTTTAAGCAAATTTAATTTAAATAAAAAATATATATTTAAGTGAATAAAAAGTTAGAGATTAAATTTAATTTAAAAATGAAGATTAAATATAGAGATTGAATTATATTTAAAAATAGAGATTAAGTTTTATTATATATGAGATTAAATTATATTTAAAAATAGAGATTAAGTTTGATTAAATATATAGATTAAAATAAATCAAATATTAGAAATTAAATTGAATTAAAAAATGGAGGTAAGATTAATTAAATTAAAAAAAAACACTTAATTGAATTAAAAAATAGAGATTAAATTTGATTAAAAACAAGAGATTTAATTGAATTTTAAAAAAAGAGCAAATTGAATAAAAATAAAAATTATCTATATTGAATTTAAAACTAGAAATAAAATCAGAGATTATAGACTATATACAGTGAAACCCTTAATAACGAATACATCGGAAGAATTTATCAAATGTCGTCTTGACAATTTTTCAATGAGTTTTATACTATATTACGTAAATTTTATTATTTGCGAAAATAAATAAATAGCCATGAATATGCGGGAACAGTTTTAAAGAGTTCCATATAATCATTTAATTAAAAAACTAAATATCTTCAACATTCCATTATCAGAAAGTGAAGAATACGACATTTGATAAATTCTTTAGATGTATTCTTTATTAAGGGTTTCACTGTATATATATCATAGAAGTCGATAATTGTAAACTAAAGCGACATGCAAAAATGTTGACTTTAAGGGGTTTTAATTGATAAAAGTAAAGAAATAAAAACATTGATAAAATCTGTTATTTGGTTTCATTATCCGATAGAACTTCAGAGATGCCTTATGTTTAAAGGGAACCGGTCTATATCAGACATGTGACTTATTTAAAAAAAATACTTTTAAACCTAGAGAAACTAAAGTATTTTTCACAATATTGATCAGATAAAGGTTTCAAGGGACCGTTATAAATCGGGCATTGTCATCTTTGCATGGAGGGTCACTTTAATTTACACTTAAAGTACCTTTAAAGAAAATGAAAATGATAAACTGACCTAATGGTTCTGGAAAACTCATTTTAAGCAGCACAAATGCTATTCCGCCATTTTGAAACGATGTCTCGATAGAAACAGCTGTTATCTGCTTCAAGGGCAATCTAGAAATTTACATTTAATAATTATGATAGTTTATAATTTGCTGAAAAGGGAATTTTTCACTCACCTCAAACTCTAAATGTCAGCGCTGATTTCAAAGGTATAAGGATTAGAAAATTAAAGTTTTTTTAAAAGAAAATTACTCACCCCACTCACCCCTTCTGGTTATATACACATTATCATAGCTTTTACTTTTTTGTTATACATTTGAAACTGTAACAACATAGTTTTAGATTCAGTTTAAAACTTTGCAAACTTTGGTTGACAGTGACTAGTCTAAAACCTACTTAAAGAGAGTGACCGCCAATGTTTGGTAGTTGAATTGAGAATACAGTATTGGGGAGAAATTTTTAGAATTCATTTGAGACATATTAACCGTTTTAATGATGTATAATCACTGAATTTTGAGCGCATAGTTGACGTTCAAAATCATCCATTCGGGTAGTTATGTTTTGAGAATCGAATTTTTTAAAATTTTTAAATAAGGACTACAAAAAATATTAAAAAAATCTACAATTTACTTGCTAGATGTTTTGGATCGAACATATTTCTCGATTGAAATTTTCTCAATAAATCAATGCTAGAATCAATTATTTTGTTTTCATAATTATATTTAATTTCTTATCCTTCATGAATTTGTTCGCAGATTTCTTTTCAATAAATATTCCAGGAAATCTGAAGAAAATGTTTGTGAACAATGATACATTACAGAAACCAATAATTGAATAAGATTAATTATTTTGAGGATAAGAGTTAATTTTTATTTTCTCAACCTGTTCCTAAACAACTAATTAGTTTACTGTAGGATTTTGACTACATTTTTCGTCGTCGTTATTAAATAATTTTTTAAAAACCGATTCTCAAAATCATCCCTCAAAAATTAACAACCTATGAGGATTTAAAGATTGAATCTGCGCTCTTGCTGAACAAATATGGATCGTGAAAACGTCTCATAGGTTTCAAATGATTCAAAAAAATGTCTCCACGCTACTATACTCTCAATTAAACTACCATACATTGCCGGTCACTCCCTTTAGATATCCAAGCTAAAGCTACGTTCATGATATATCCTAATATTGAATAGTCTAGGGATACCTACAGATCCAAGCTAGTGCTGCTCTCATGATTTATCCTAATATTGAATAGTCTAAACCTACCTAAATATCCAAGATAGTGCTGCTCTCATGATATATCCTGATATTGACTAGTCTAAACCTACCTAAATATCAAAGCTAGTGCTGCTCCCATTATATATCCTGATATTGACTAGTCTAAACCTACCTAAAGATCTAAGCTAGTGCTGCTCTCATGATATATCCTTATATTGACCAGTCTAAACCTATCAAAAGATCCAAGCTAATGCTGCTCCCATGATATATTCTGATATTGACTAGTCTAAACCTACCTAAATATCCAAGCTAGTGCTGCTCATATGATATATCCTGATATTGACTAGTCTAAACCTACCTAAATATCCAAGCTAGTGCTGCTCCCATGATATATCCTGATATTGACTAGTCTAATTCTTCCTAAAGATCCAAGCTAGTGCTGATCACATGATTTATCCTGATATTGACTATTCTAAACCTACCTAAAGATCCAAGCTAGTGCTGCTCTCATGAAACATTCTGATATTGGCTAGTCTGAACCTACCTAAAGATCCCAGCTAGTGCTGCTCTCCTGATATATCCTAATATTGAATAGTCTAAACCTACCTAAATATCCAAGCTAATGCTGCTCCCATGATATATCCTGATATTGACTAGTCTAAACCTACCTAAATATCCAAGCTAGTGCTGCTCCCATGATATATCCTGATATTGCGACGACGAACCCCGCAGCGACCATGAGGGAGGTGATCATCTTGAAGATGAAGATGTTGATGTAGACGCCAGCTGTGAGTATGAAGATGACGGTGAGGAGTGTGAAGGGAACAATAATTTTCTCCATGAATACACCAGCTTTAGGCCACTTCCATCTGAAGATTATCGTTTATTAGTCTATAAACATTCAATGTTTGTTAACTTTAAGGTTCTCTTCAAAAGCATAAAATGTTTCAAATATTTTAAAATCGAATTCCCCTAAATTGTTGTCTTTATAATAAGACCACAAAATGTTTCCCCAACCGTGCATTGTTATTTTTAACTCAACTCCAAAAAAATAACCTTGACTGTCAAAAAATAACGAAAATGAGAACTGACGCTACTGACGTTTTTACAATCCCAGAATCGATTTAAAACGATACGTGTTACACTTTATTATAAACATTAATTTATTATTCTTTGCTCATTGCTAAGATTGCGGTGATTCCAGATAAAAAAAATGTCTGTCGCGATAAGGTTTAGCGGGTACTTTGTTTTATTTACACTTTTGAGAATCCTTTTAACTGCAGTGGTCGTCGGACATATCAATACAATGAAGACGACATTTATTTTCCCTTTTTTATTTCTACCAATATTTCAAACAGAGAGACATATAAACATGTAAACAAAGGGAAGTTGTCAATTAACATCTTCTCTTTGTTCACTTGTAAAATGCTTGTTAGGAATCTAATCAGTATTAGGAAAATTCGTCTTCATTGTATTGAAATAAGCGTCGACCAGTGTATAGGGTTTTTTTTACCTGATCCACATTCCAACAGCAATAGGCAGAATAAGGCCTGAAAATTAATTTCTTTTAAAAATCTGTTTTTTTGTTAAGCAAAATTTTTCATTAAATCCCGCCAATATAAAAATTATGTATATTTATGTCCATGTTAAACCAACTCTTTTCAAAGGAAAGTAATTTTTTATATGTAGAGACCGTTCAACCCTTAAAAGTTCAGATAAATTTGTTATAATCTATTTAATATATTTATTATCATTCTAAAAATGTTCCACTTTAATCAAAAATACTAATTTTTAGATATAAAAACTACAGGGTGTCTCTGCAATAAACATGGGAATTCAGTGACGAATTCGATATCGTCTTTTTAAATAATTCTTTGATTTAGTGATACCTACTGAGAAAGCTGTAATCTGTAAGAGTTTCGTCTGCTATATTCACATTTTGTTTGTTTATGTTTTGACTGCATACAGTTGTACTTAGTACAACAAGAAAATTATAGTATACAAACAGAGTAAACTTGTCCGTCTTCACTGTTCATCTTTCGGAGACATTACAGACACATCTTTACAGTCTTTTACCCTTTTCATAAAATAAACTCTAGCAGACATAATAATATTATGGTTTTTGAAATTAGGTATTACAATGCTAACTCATAACAAAGACGATATCGAATTCGTCACTGAATTCCCATGTTTTTGGGACACCCTGTAGGATATTGCCATAGAGTAATAAAACGAAGAGGTGAAGCTTAGCTCATATGTACACAACCAACCTCCCTATTAATCAATTAATAGAGTGGTCGGTTGTATACATGTGCACTGTACACTTGTTTAAAAAGTAATCGTATTTCTAAGGGGAATTTTATGGAATTGACCAATTTTTAGATTTTCTATCTTTATTTAAATCCATATAAAGTGTCTATCTTATTATTAATACTAATATTCAAATATCTACATAAAACCACCCCTTAGAAATACGATTACTCTATATACAAGTGTACAGTGTTAGATACGTAAACATACCGCTCTATTAATAAATTAATAGGGAGGTCGAGTGTGTACATCTGAGCTAAGCTTCACCTCTTCGTTTTATTACTTTATGGATATTTTTTCTCAGACATGACGAAGGGTACTGTTGTTAATCGCACATTTAACTTTCTAACTTGGAATGATGTCGACGCGTGGTTCTTTAATCTAACCTATTAATGAGAAGACGAGCTGACCGAAAGGAATGACAAGATCTCCGTCAGTTAGGAGCGGACCCATCAGATAGATCCACAGAGGCATCATACCAAGAGCAGCAATGGTACTTAAAGGAATTGTAAGCGTAATGTCAAGTAACCCTGCGTGCAAAGATGGCAATCCCTAAAAAGCTTTGTCTGATATAGGAATTATATATCCATGTTTTTCTTCTTTTTCATTTGCGGTTTCTATGCGAAGTTACCTTGCTCATTTCTTGCTTATAAGAAGCAATGGATAAATTACAGAAACAAATGACGTTTTCTTCCAAATGTTGGATTAGATTAAGGTTTCAAAGGTACCGTTGTAAATTATACATTGCCATCTTTGCATGAAATCAAGGAACTATATACAGGAACGCACCACTCAGATATACGCATATTATGTACTGTACACTGTGGGAGGAATGTAAACAAACCCAGCGCCCCCACAGAAGTTGAATGGAAAGGACTAAAGCTCTGATGTGATATAACAGTCCAACAAAAAACAAGTTAGTATATCAAGTTAGAGCGAATACATATAATTTTTGGCTTTCTTGTTAATATGGAAAATGAAATAGCAATATATTCTTATTCCACCTCTTGGGCCCTTTTCCCTCAAAAATGATGCGTTGCCCCTGAATTCTTTGTCTTGATCTCCTCCCACTTCAGTACACAGATTTGACGCATGAGACATGGTGGTTCCTGGTATATATATTTCTTGCTTAAAATTACGATTAATGCTGGTTTTCGTCAAACTTTGACAGAAAATCAGTCTTTACAAGAACTGACCTAAGAAGGATTTACAAATTGTTGTCCGGGTAGATTGTTTTTCTACTTCATTTTACTTTTCGGATATAGAAATTCAATGATCTTAAATTATCACAGCTCAAACCAGATATAAGAGAGTTGCAGAGATCGATTAACACCACTAATATGCTATATTTTCCAGAGCATGTTCTATTGTGACTTTAAAAATCTTTAAAAATATTCATAAACGTTGTTTTATGTTTAAAATTGGAGTATTTCTTTTAAAAGTTGTAAAACTGAAAACGTATCCACCCCCAAAGTAGGAGTTTTGAACGTCGAATTTGCGCTCAAACTCAGGATTTACAGATCTTTCAAAAGTTTAATATGTCTCAAATGAATCCGAAAGAAGTTTTCCACAACACTGCATTCTCAGTGCAACTACCTTACATAGCCGGTCACTCCCTTTAACTCAAGTGCGTCAATTGCACCTTTTAAAATATTTTATTTTAAGTCTGAAAGAATTTTTCTTAGGAACAACTAAAATATTAAGTATAAGGGGGCCGGGATGAGGGTGGTTATTTAAAATGAATAATATTACCTTATAAATGTCATTGTAATTGAAAGATTAATATCTCCGTCTAGGAGTAGAGTCCAGAAGTTGGAACCGTTTCCTCCTGGAGAACAACCAAGAACAAACAAACCCAACCTAGACAAATACAGTGGTCACCATAAAAAGTGGAATACTTTTGAATAAAAGGGAGTGTTCGCGAAAAATGAATGGGGGTGCTTAATGCGATAAAAAAGCGCTTTTGATCGCTAATAATCTTACTTATATCTGTTGCGTCTATAAGGAAAAACTTGTTAAAGACGTCTCATACCGAATAACTTAGCGCTCATACAAATTCAGAAAATTGTAACATACGACTTAGACCGTAAAAATCCATTTAATTTCTAACAAATCATTCAGACAGTGCAACCTATAGTCATCGATTATATTTCGCCACATTTGTATATAGTTTATATTTTATAATATTTAATTTTTTAGAGAACGTTTTAACTGATTTCGAAAAATGTGGTCCGCAGCATTCTTAAATAGTTGCACAAGCCGCAAGATAAATAATCAAATTCAAAAAAAATTAATTAAAAAATATTATAAAATATAAACTATATACAAATGTGGCGAAAGATAATCGATGACTATATGTTTTAATATCTGAATGATTTGTTTGAAATTAAATTGATTTTTTTACGGTCTAAGTCGTATGTTGCAATTTTCTCAATTTGTATGGGCGCTAAGTTATTTGGTATTAGTCGTTTTTAACAGTTTTCTCCTTATAGACGCAACAGATAGAAGTAAGCTTAGAAGCGATCTAAAGCGCTTTTTTTATCGCATTAAGCCTATACATTTTACGCGAACACTCCCTTTAAATCAAAGAAGTTTGTAAATGTTAGGACTGATACAGAGTTAGCCACAAAGAATGAAAATTTTCTCAGTTGAACGATGAGGGTTGAACTTAAAGGTGGGGTGGATGAATTGTCATTAACAAACTAAAATTCAACTTTGGATATATATATGCTTGCACAAAAAGCATGCTAAAATTGTTCTAAATAGCTAAATTGAATTCGCTAAAGAACACTTTTTAACTGTGAGAAAAAGTGTTTGTTTTCTCTATGGACCAATTAAAACCTTTTAGAAATCTAAACCTTAAAATATTCGATCAGTTAAATGTTTTAATTGTGGGTAATTAGTGACCCTCCATGCAAAGATACCAAGGCCCAATTTCCAACGGTCCCCTAAAAGCTTTGCCTGATCAAGTCTGGATTAAATTTTAAACTGTTTGTGGTTTCTCCGCTAAAGTGACTTGCACATTTGTTGTTTGTAAGAATCAATGGAAACATTCACAGAAATAAACTTGAGTCTGAGAAACGACGTTTTAACTTCCGCAGTTTGATCATAATTAAGGTTTCAGAAGAGCATATCATCTGTGAAAAGGTATAAGTTTAAGAATACCTGAAGAGCATATCGTCTGTAACTCTAGCAGACATAATAATATTATGGTTTTTGAAGGGGGTATCATGGTAAATTTTGGGTATAGATTAAAGCCAGTGAGCCTTTACTTCGAAACCCATTTTGACCCTTTAAATGAAGATTTTTAGGATTTGCTATTTTATACTTTTGGTTAAACTTTATTTTTCAAATTTTTCAAATGTTAAATTATTCGTAATCGTTTCCCTATATTCCACAGATTTTGATTAGAGATAAAAATACTAATTAAAATATGTGGATACAGACAGGATATGCACTTCATTGTAATTAGATTTACGTAGTAATAAACACATGTATCTTGGTAAGAAGGTTAATTTCGACTGTTACTGTAACCATTCAATCATGTTCATCTTATTGAAAAGGATTTTCGATCAAAAAGCCAAAAGTTAAAAAAAGAATGAAAATCCAGCTCTAACTATGATGTAGGATACAGAGCAAGAGAAGGAGAAGGTCAAAGTTATGCAACATTATTTTGAGACCTCGTAACTCCTCTGCTTTTTTTTACGTACAAATGTGAGAAAAGCAAATATTTTTTTACAAGTGTGAGATAAGCAAATATTTGTTTACAAGAGGCATAGTTAATAATTTTAAATGTTCATCTTTTTTCTCCCTTCTCCATCTGCACGTCCGCAGGTTCTATTTTTCATGCTTCCCTTTGCCCGTCCATTTATGGCGCTGCTTTTGAAAGCATGTTTACAAGTCGCTGTCTTATAGCGCCATCATATGACTGCAGTGTACAATCACCCTTTCATCAAATAATTGCTAAATTGTTATTGCAGTCTCAGCTCTGCACATTCTGTACTTGCATGCGCTAGGTCAACATTCCTTACACTTCAAGTTAGTTTTTATTTGCAGCAAGGGAGCAATAGATTTCCCACTTTTAACTGCACATTTTTACTTTCCTATAAAAGGAGTGTTTCTATTCCAACGAAGGATAATCAAGTGACCCACTCAGAAATAATTTGGTTGTAGGATCTAACAGAGAAATGTCTTTGAGCCCCCTGTGCTGCTTGTGAGAAGTTTAGTTGGTAGGTAGAGGAGAGTGAAGAAGAGGATAAGGATTTCTTGACTTAGTACCCTGGCCGTAGGTACTGTAGTTAAGAAAGGAGGCTAACTTATTGAGCACTGGGTTCAGGGCCGCTTGGCCTTCCCTCTATTCTATGTGTAGACATCTTTCTCGGCGTCCACTACAAATAGTGCAGAAAGCTTTTAGAGCAGAGCTCTGCTCTCTTAGGCTGTAGAAGCTCTGCTCTCTTAGGTTGTAGGAATGCAACTGAAAGCAGATCTATCCGCCGGTTAAATTTTAAGAATTTAAAACATTTCTGTTTTTTACTTGATATGATGATGTGATGATTGAATACGTTTGAGGTTTCAATCTTTCATGCAATTTACTTTAGTTTGACGTGGTAAACTTACCTATTGGTTTCTTAAACACTTCCTTGATTATCTCCAGGTCTAACTGTGCACCCATGTTCACAGTGTTCACGATAATCATCAGGGTCATCACCAGGGTGAACACATTGTTCAACACTGAACAGTATTATATTATTGGATGAATATGAACACATTGTTCGACACTGAACATTACACATTGTTCAACATTGAACATTATAAAATTATTGGATGAATATGAACACATATTCTAACACTGAACAATATCATAATGACGAATAAATATGAACATTTATTGTTCAGCACTGAACAACATCATATTGATGAACTTGTATTAATTCATTATTCAACAGTGAATGACATCATATTGATGAACTTGAGTTAATACATTGTTCAGCACTGAACTTAACATCATATTAATGAAATTATATTAATACATTGCTCAACAGTGAATAACATCATATTGATGAACTTATATTAATACATTGTTCAACAGTGAATAATATCATATTGATGAAATTATATTAATACATTACTCAACAGTGAATGACATCATATTGATGAACTTATATTAATACATTGTTCAACAGTGAATAACATCATATTGATGAACTTATATTAGTACATTGTTCAACAGTGAATAACATCATATTGATGAACTTATATTAATAGATTGTTCAACAGTAAATAACATCATATTGATGAACTTATATTAGTACATTGTTCAGCACTGAACAACATCATATTAATGAAATTATATTAATACATTGCTCAGCAGTGAATAACATCATATTAATAAACTTATATTAATACATTGTTCAGCACTGAACAACATCATATTAATAAACTTATATTAATTCATTATTCAACAGTGAATAATATCATATTGATGAAATTATATTAATACATTGTTTAACAGTGAATAACATCATATTGATGAACTTATATTAGTACATTGTTCAACAGTGAATAATATCATATTGATGAACTTATATTAATACATTGCTCAACAGTGAAAAATATAAATTTGATGAACTTATATTGATACATTGTTCAACAGTGAATAATATCATATTGATGAATTTTTATTAATTCATTGTTCAGCACTGAACAATATCATAGTATTGGATAAATATGAGCACATTACTCAACACTGAACAATATCATAAATGTGGATGAATATGAACAAACCTGAACAATATCATATCAATGGATGAATAGTAACATATAATGGATAAATATGAGCACATTGCTCAATACTGAACAATATCATAAATGTGGATGAATATAAACACACCTGAACAATATCATATCAATGGATGAATAGAAACATATAATGGATAAATATAATTACATTGCTCAACACAGAACAATATCATAAATGTGGATGAATATGAACACACCTGAACAATATCATATCAATGGATGAATTGAAACATATAATGGATAAATATAATCACATTGTTCAACACTGAACAATACCAAATTGATAAACTTATATTGTCAGGTATAAAATACGAAAATGTTCGACCTCTAAAAAATTTCACAAAGCAAATGAATCCTTGCTAAAAATGGTGGAAACCTTTGATATTTCAAACTTAGATTATTTGATGTAACAGAATTAATATCTAAGGTCTTCAACATTTAGTTCCAAAGATTAGATTGGAAAGTTTGAGTTTGTGGCAATTCCCTTTGACGGATTACTTAATAACGAATTATAAAATATTAACCTGAATTGTTTATTACAACATATATCTTTTCTGTATGAATAATCTCCCCTTTATCAACAAACTGTAAAACAATTAAACAAAAATAATTTAAATAAAACAATTTTTTAGTAATTATTTTAAGGTTTTTAGATTTCAATTTCAATTTTGATTTTTGAATTGTTTTTCCTGTAGATGATTAATTCCAAGCGTATGTCCTTCAATAGTTATGTACTTCGGTATTGATTTACTAAAACAATGATTATATACTTCAGGAAAGAAGGAAACCTGATCTCTAGTTGAGTAAAGGATAAATTATAAAAGAGGAAACCATATCTCTGGTTGAGTAAAGGATACATTATAAAAAATGAAACCTGATCTCTAGGTGAGTAAAGGATACATTATAAAGAAGGAAACCTGATCTCATAGTTGAGTAAAGGATATATTATAAAAAAGGAAACCTGATCTCTAGTTGAGAAAAGAATATATTATAAAAAAAGGAAACCTGATCTCTAGTTGAGTAAAGGATACATTATAAAGAAGGAAACCTGATCTCTAGTTGAGTAAAGGATACGGTTTCATTATAAAGAATGAGAACTGAATTTTCCTTCTCCTCAATCTGTAGATTTAGAAGAACCTAAAATAACTAATTTCAATAAAAGAGGAAGAAAAAAAGAGAAAAAATGGAAAGAAAACTAATTTAAGGGGGTACAGATCGAGTTCTTAGAATTTATTCCCTCCATTCTCCCTTCCGCTGAGTTATATTAGACTGATTTTACACGAAAACTGAAAATGTCGTCGTATTTTTGGAAATAATTTTTACTGTTGATGATTATTTGCAAACCAAAAGTATGAGTTCAAAGGATAGAATCAGACTATCTTATTTCTTTTATTTAAAAGGGGTGACCGGTAATGTATGGTGGCTCAACTGAATATGTAGTATTGTGGAAATTTATTTTAGTCATCATTTGAGACCTATAAAACGTTTCCACGACGTATAATTACTAAGTTTGAACGTAAAGTCGACGTTAAAAATCTTCAATTAGGGTGGGTACGTTTTGAGAATCTTTTTTTAAATTATTAAATAATAAATAACGACGACAAAAAATGTAGCACAAATTAGACAGTAAACTAACGAAGTATTTAGAAACATGTTGAGAACATAAAAATTAACTCTTTTCATAGAAATTAAAAAATATTTTTCAGTTTTTAGTTTTTGTAATGTCTCATTGTTCACAAACATTCTCTGTAGATTTTCTGGAATTTTGATTAAAAAGTCGACATTTGAAGAATTTGTAGAAATCTGCGAATAAATTCGTAAAGAATAAGGAATTTAATAAAATGATGAAAACGAATCAATTGATTCTAACATTGATTTATTGACTTATTTTTTTGAGAAATATGTTCCTAAGCATATATTTACTTTACTACAGTGAAACCCTTAATAAAGAATACATCGAAAGAATTCATCAAATGTCGTATTCTTCAATTTCTGATAATGGAATGTTGCAGATATTTAGTTTTTAATTAAATGATTATATGGAACTCTTTATACAACTGTTCCCGCATATTCATGGCTATTTATTTATTTTCGCAAATACTGAAATTTACGTAATATAGTATAAAACTCATTGAAAAATTGTCAAGACGACATTTGATAAATTCTTCCGATGTATTCGTTATTAAGGGTTTCACTGTATAGAATCTTTGTTATATTTTTCGTCGTCGTTATTTAATAATTTTTGATTAATTAATGATTTTGAACGTCGACTCTTTGAGTTCTAACTCAGTAATTATGCATTGTGAAAAACGTTTTATATGTCTCAAATGATTCCCTAAAAAATGTTCAACAATACTACATTTTTAGTTCAAGTAAGTTGCCGGTCACTCCCTTTAAAAGTACCTTGTCTACACAGCTAATCGTACCTCAAAGAAATATGTTCAAAACCGTCTTACACAGATAACGATTTCATGTTTGGTTAAACATATTACTTTATCTTTAATTTTACCGAATTTATTCATCCTTCTCCTATGCGTGTAACCCTTTATAAAATATCAATATAAATGGTATAATTAATAATGAAACTGATTAAAGGAATTGAGTCTTTGCCACTCTGCTTTTCTAAACCGTATATCTTTGGATTCTAATGTCGCAGACTTTAGATATTTTAAACTATGAATTCTGAATTCTGAATTCTCCAAGCGAGCATGGAAATACATGATGAATCAACAGCAATATGTGACTCTTGGACTTTACAAAATTTGGCCAGAGCTGGGAACTTTTTTGTTGAATATTCATATCTTCATTTTAGTTATTCCTCCCTTGATCAAAGCTTCCTTCAACCCCTGACTGGGTACGATTACCCTTCAGGATATACAATAAAGATTAAAATAATCTGCATATTAACAAAAGATGGAGATCAAGTATTGATCTCAAAATCTACAATACAAGAGTTCCCAGCATTCTGTAGAAAATATATAAAATTTTCCGGTTACATTTGATTAACTGATTTTTTCTTTTTACAAAAATCTTTGTCAAAGGAATTGCCACACATTCAGATTTTGTAAAACTTATATTTGTGCAACCTTATGATGTAAACCTTTGATATTTCAAACTTACATTATTTGATCTAACAGAATTCATAGTTTGAAATATTAAAGGTCTACGACATTGGGTTGAAATGATATTGAAATTAGAAAATCAGAGTTTGCGGCAAAAACTCAATTCTTTTCCCTGAGAAAAGGATATAATTGATGAACTGATTTTTGTTGTTATTCCTTAGATTACATTTTATTCTTTCACTAACCTCGTTCTCAGATTCTCCTGGAAATTTTAAGAAAAGGTTTAAATATTAAAATAAAAATATTCTATTCCCATAGAAACTGATAAAATTCTAATTTTCCAAATCCTATATCTTTGTGGCCTGATTTATATTTTAAATTTTGCCTGTAATAACTAGCAGATCTCATAATTTGAAGTAGAGTTATAATCAGAAATCTGTAGGATAGGAAGACTAAAGTACATTTATGTTGTTACAAAGCAAATAGCTTAAACATTAAGTTTTTCAATCACTTGTTAGGTGAAATGGGTATCTTAACACTCCACACATGATATGCCTCATGTTCATTGGACTAAAGTCAGGACTTGAGTCTAAGTCAACTTCATATTTCTGGGTTTGCACTGAATATTAAGACAACAGGTTGCAAAGATATAAAATTAGGAATATCAGAGTTTAAGACAGGGGTTCAGTTAGTTTATTTTTGAAAAATTATCTTCTAAAATATTTATAATTTAATTCTAGACATTTCTTTGCAATATCTAAATTCTTGTCATTTCTTCGCAATATCCAGATTCTAGAAATTTATTTGCAATATCTAGATTCTAGACATTTCCTTTGCAATAACTAGATTCTAGACATTTTAAAATACGTTCTTTTTATTATCATAAGGATTTTAAACTATTAAAATTTCTTTTTATTCAGGGTTTTAAAAGTTTCGAAATGTTTCAGAAATGAAGGGAAAAACGATAAAACGTCTAATATTTTAATCAATTGGACGTTAATCCAAATAAGATTGTCGGCGATTTTATCTAGACAATAAAGACGACTTTTTATTAATATTGCTTTAATCCCCAAAAAGCATTTTTTAAATTACTTTACTGTACAAGAAAACAAAGATAATATATTAATTTAAAATTTAAATTTTTAAGTGTTTCTCTTATTTAGCTTATGCTAAATATATTCATAAAGCAATCATAATTTCAAAAGGCAACAAATACCTTTTCCACCTCCCCTAGCTCTAGAACAAACCCTGCTCTAGAGCCTATTATAAGTAGAGAGCAGAGAAGAGTGCACTTCTCAAACATCATCCTAAACTTTTATTGATCTTTTCGGACTTTGATTAATCCGTCACTAGCGTAGAGTTGTAGAATTCAAGTGTAGAGTGTAGAGTGTAGAGTGTAGAGTGTAGAGTGTAGAGTGTAGAGTGTAGAGTGTAGAGTGTAGAGTGTAGAGTGTAGAGTGTAGAATTTAGAGTGTAGAGTGTAGAGTATAGAGTGTAGTGTGTAGAGTGTAGACTGTAGAGTGTAGAGTGTAGTGTGTAGAATTCAAGTGTAGAGTGTAGAGTGTAGAGTGTAGTGTGTAGAGTGTAGAGTGTAGAGTGTAGAGTGTAGAGTGTAGAGTGTAGAGTGTAGAATGTAGAATGTAGAGTGTAGAGTGTAGAGTGTAGAGTAAAAATGAAACTATACATACATTTATAGTTCTGGTTTGCTCCGTTAAATAGTGTTTGCATTGCACTCCTTTTAAATTTGATAACAAACTTCAAATTTTAAACTTTAGATTTTCTGAAATATTAAATGTTTAACTCTTTAAATCTCAACTCAACGACTTTATACAATGGAACTATTTACATCTAAGTTTTTTAAACAATACTAGCTGACTTCCTAACTTGTTCTGAACAGTACTAGCTGACTTCTTAACTTGTTTTGAACAGCACTAGTTGACTAGTTACCTGATAGGATTTTACTTGCTGACTAGCTAACCTGCGATGAATAATACTATTTGACTAGCTAACCTTATATGAATTGTAGTAGCCGACTAGCTAATTTGATATGAATAGTATTATCTGACTAGCTAACAAGATATGAACAGTACTAGATGACTAGCTAACCTAATCTGAAAAGTGCTATCTGACTTACTAACCTAATCTGACCTGTGCTATCTGAATAACTAACCTAATCTGACCTGTGATATCTGAATAACTAACCTAATCTGAACTGTGCTATCTGACTAACTAACCTTTTCTGAACTGTGCTATCTGACTAATTAACCTAATCTGACCTGTGCTATCTGACTAGCTAACCTAATCTGAAAAGTGCTATCTGACTTACTAACCTAATCTGACCTGTGCTATCTGAATAACTAACCTAATCTGACCTGTGCTATCTGAATAACTAACCTAATCTGAACTGTGCTATCTGACTAACTAACCTTTTCTGAACTTTGCTATCTGACTAATTAACCTAATCTGATCTGTGCTATCTGACTAACTAACCTAATCTGACCTGTGCTATCTGACTAACTAACCTAATCTGAAAAGTGCTATCTGACTTACTAACCTAATCTGAACTGTGCTATCTGACTAACTAACCTAATTTGAACTGTGCTATCTGACTGGCTAACCTAATCTGAACTGTGCTATCTGACTAGCTAACCTAATCTGACCTGTGCTATCTGAATAACTAACCTAATCTGACCTGTGTTATCTGACTAACTAACCTAATCTGAACTGTGCTATCTGACTAACTAACCTAATCTGAACTGTGCTATCTGACTAACTAACCTAATCTGAAAAGTGCTATCTGACTAACTAACCTAATCTGACCTGTGCTATCTGACTAACTAACCTAATCTGACCTGTACTATCTGAATAGCTAACCCTATTAAGAACAGTACTAGCTGGTTAGGTAACTTAATCTTAACTGTGCTAGCTGAATAGCTAACCTGATCTGAACTGTGCTAGCTGACTAACAAATAACCTAATCCAACATAAGTTAGATGCTGTATTTGCCTAATGGACGATATTTAAAGGGGTGTCTTAATTGTAAGAAACATTTTTATTATTTTTCGCCCTTTCAGTGAAAAGAAAAAAGAAACGAGTTGATTTTTCGTTTGTGAAATATATTTTTTCAGAAACAGATCGTTTACGATTAGAATATATCAATGAAATTTCTAGGTTTATCTATATAATAAAACACAACATTCGCATATATGTTCCCCCTATAGCTGGCCAACCGGCTGGACCGTATGGGTAACATAGGCATGAAGAAATTCTAAAATTTTTTAAAACAAATTTTTTTCAAATTCCACCGGCAACACCTGGCACTTCTGCTAGTGTTCAATGTTTTTGAACTGTGTCCCAAAAATGAGGGATTTCTGTTTAAAATTTATAATTGACGCCTAACCATTGCATCATTCATAAAGGAACTGTGAAAGACATCCACGTTTTCTTTAGCGAACCGGATATCCCCTACTATGAATATCGAATAAATATCAATAAAATGCTTGCATGATTTCGCGCTAATGCCAATTTTTAACATGATTTGGCTAAATCGGAAATTAGTACAGCTGCAAATCATTTCCCTCCTTCCTTAATAAGAGTTTTTTAGTCAATTTGTAAGCGTGCGTGGAATTAAATTTAAAAAATTTATTTAAAATGTTTAAATTGCACCTCGCAAAAATATGTTGGCTAGAAAGAATAAATGGTTTATTTGTAAAATGTAACTTGTTAAACAACTATAGTAAAGTAAATATTGTAAAGCACAATCAATTGCGTTTTAAATAGTTTGTTATTTACGTCAACCAAAATCCTTTACACAAATGAATATTTGGATTTAAAAGAACATATGGAGGGTAACTGAAAATGACGTATATACAGTTTAAGTTAAAAAACATGTTAGCGGTATCTATCAAACAGTATGTTGTTCACTATACCAAGCTTAATATATCTCATTTCAATATCACATTGCTAAAAGTATACTTTCTTTTGCTTTAACACACTTGCACTTCACTATCTTGTTAAATTTTAGATTCTTTATTTAACAGGCTTTGTTTAGTTCAAAAAACGCCTATTGGCTATACAGGATCCGAGCTTTGATATACCTCTTTAACTCATTGTTATGCTATATAGTAGCTCCCAGTATATTATGGGTTCTTGTATATCTAGCTTACTGGAGAAGATAATTCTCAACTTCAAACAATCAGAGCAAATAAAAGATCTAAACACAACACTGATAACGCCAATAGACAGATAATAGATATATTTGCATACTTATACTAGAGAGTAGAGACAAGGGAGAAATTTTATCTTAACTATAGACTAACATGGGATTCAGAAAATATGTTAAATAAAAAGACTTTTACGGGGCCTTGTCCCACTTAAATAGTAATCATTTTAGCTTTTAACTGTTGCGTTTTCAGTCGCAATTTTTTTATCAAACTCTGCAAAAAACGAAATTTTCGCGTAATTTTTGCCTAAATTTGTGTATCATCAAAAATAATAAAGCCTTAATTAAACGTTCCCTTGCAAGGTTCCTGTGAGTAGCCACAATAAATTTTGGCCAATCTGTTTTGCCGTTTTGACGTTTATTCACGGTGGACTATAGGGTCAATTTAAATTCGAACCTGACCGACCAATTGTACAAGCCTTAGTGACGCGCGGCAAGTACCGACCCAACCCTATCCTTGCTGGCTCGGTTTAAACTTTGTTGGCGCGATCCGACTTTTTACAGTACCCGGCCTATTACAGGCCTATTGGACTTACCCCACTAGCTTAGTTTAGTATGTATTAGACGCAAAAAAATGCTATCTTTGTACTTTTATGAAAGCATTTTTAGAATAATAAAACAAAGATTTAAAACTTGCTTAAACTCTTTTTAAAATTTCTATAATTTCCATAAATTAGAAATTAATTTAAAATCAAAATACTTGTATGTTAATATTTTGTCCGCTAGATTATTTTCTTATTATTAGAATTTACTATTCTACTCTAAGGGGGCAGAGGGGGGGATTTGGGGCCTTTGAAATTTTTTTATTTCAAGAATAACTAATTTAACAAATAAATCTATAATTTTTATTTCTAAAAGTTGTTAGTTCATCGTCGAAAAATACTAACAATCCACCACTAATTTATATTAAATATAGTGTAAACAACAAATATGTAACTTTCCTTATTCTTTCCTTTCCTTTTCCTTTTATTTATATTTTTATATTTTTTTTAGAATGGGGGGAAATATTCCCACAACCTCTACTTTTACAGGTTTTTAAATATTTTCTCCTGAAACACTTTATTTTGTTATATTTCATAAATAAATAATTTTTTACTTTACTTACTTTACTTTAAGGAGTTTTTTAAAATTTGTAGTCTAAGAGAAAGGACAGAGAAAGACAAAGCCAACCCCAAATATACATTTTTGAAAAGCCCTTGAACAGCGAAAATAATCTTATGTTTTACATGTTTAGATTTGTCAAAAACTAAATTTCTTATTTCGACATTTTTCCGACGTAATTTTTGCCATTTTTAAACCTCTTCCGTTACCTAACCATTCAAGGGAAAGTATAATTTTAAAAAATTAGCCTAACATGTTAAATATGGCTCCAAACAATAAGGAAGATACTGTGGAAGACGATGCCTGGCCGCGTTAAACAAGTTCCACAAGATTCAACAGAATGAGATAGAACGGATACGGGGCATAGTACTGATAAACATCTACACGTGTGATATCGATATTGACTCTAGTTCTGAACCCTCTAGTAATAAGTATAAGAAATATATATACTGGAACTTATTTACGCGTTTTTATTAGAGTCTGACTCACGTCCTCTATAATATCATTGTTTTACTTTCTTATATTCTGACAAAATCCTGCAATGTCTCTGCAGCATCCAATACATACGTGTTCTCTGACCACTTTAAAGTAGAGAAACCACAGTTGAAACATTAAATTTTATTTTTTTTTAAATTAGATATTTTATTAATTTCTTTTTTAATTAGGATTCATAGGATTCTATTCTAATGAATCTAAAAACCGAGAAATCTACTGGAAGAACCTAGGTCCTAGAGGGATCATGGTTCTAAATCTAAGATTTGTGTGTTAGCAGTTTATGATTAGCTGAAAGGGTTTCCGGTTGCAGAGGATTAAAGTAATTTCTTCCATTCTAGTACTTAGTACACTGTACAGCTCTATTCTATACCAAGATATTACTTACTTATAAGTGCTTTTCATACAACACACAATAGGAGCAGAAATTAAGAAATATAACTCAGTGGCGTAAATAAGGGGGTTATTGGAGTTATTTACCCCGCCA